AATGTAAACTCCAGACCTGACTCCGAATTGTGTGACGATAACGGTGCGGTCAGGAAGTCTGTAGTTGCAACTGGTAAGCCATTGTTGAATAGAGTGTCACAGAATAGAGTTGCTGCTTCAGAGTCCAGTTCTGACCCTACAAGTTTACAAGGTATCACTAGTCAGAGTGAAGGTATAAAACCTTTATTGATTTTTGAGGAGGAACCAAAATTGTCTACTTCTGTTATTAAAGAGTTTGAAAATGATGAAGTTGACGGTAAAGTGAATATTCGTGATAATGATCATGATACTTCACAATTGTCTTTGGTTGATCATTATGAGATGAGGGATATGCCTACTACTGATTAGTTAATTAAAGGTTCTGTACAACTACAACGTGAAGTAGAATTGAACGCAGATGCAGTTCCAAAAGGTGTGCATACTTGTGAGACAGTCAGTGTAATTGATCAGCGTGTAGCCCACCTATCATCAGATGATAGTGCTAAACCCGAACTAGTGGTGAAAGACAGCAGTGGTGGTAATCTTGCAGTTGGACAACTATCTGAGAGCCGAAAAAGAACAGCTTCTGATCCACCACTAAGTTCATCACCTTGTGTCAATCAGTCATCGTTGGTGCTGTCATCCACAATGAAACAGACACCCATCAACTCAAGTATCTTTTGCAATGACTATGGTAGTATCAGTTCGTTTGATAGGACGAATATCAATGGTCAGTTTAGTGTGGATAAGCCAAGTGTAAAGGAGAGAGTTATTGTTAAATTGACTTGCATGAATAAAGGCATTTCTAGTTTCAAGTTACTATTTGAATGTTATTATCTTTGGTGTAAATTACTCTGTTTCTATACTTGGTTGATGAGATATGTCGTGTGTTTGTTGGTCATCTATATTCTACTATACAATGACATGAGCGTGTTGCCGTTCAGATTTGAGGATTTAGCTCATAGAAGGAAGTTAGCAAATGAACTCTGCGACGATTTTCCAACCTAGGGCGTCAACCTGAGAAGGGTTGTAGGCGTACTGGTGTAAGTCCTACAGTTCTTCAAAGGGTAGCGCATCAATGATCAGTCCAATGTGCTTGGTGTGTGATTTTGTACATAAGTTCACATTGTATATACTGAATTGATATCATCTGTCATCTAGCTGTTGGTAATTCTGTTTGTGTCCGGACGACTTCCACTTGGATCATCAACCTGAGAAGGAATGTAGGCGTACTGCTGTAAGTCCTACAGTTCTTTAAGGGTAGTTTGTCGTGTCAGAATCCACAACATTTGATGTGTTGATTGTACATATGTTTGTGTTAAATAGTTGTGTGAGTTCCAATTGATGTAATTGTTGGTTAATCTTGTTTGTGTCCGGACATTCCACAACTTACAATCGTCAACCTGTGAAGGTTTGTAGGCGTACTGGTGTAAGTCCTGCAATTCTTCAAGGGTATTCCATCAAGACATGATCGGCGAGTTTGTGTGTACTGTTTGTATATACGTGTGGTGTGTCATATCAATTGGTGTTATTTGAATTCATTGTGTTTACTCGTTGTTTTCGTATCTTGTTTTTATTGCATAATTTTGTTAAAATTTTCGTCGTGATTACTTCTGAAGTTGTGGCCACTCTTCTACATCCGTGAATGAATTGATTGATGTTAAGGACAGCAGATGGGTCGTATACGCCGGGGAGGCTATTGCTGAGAATGAAATGCACACGGAGATAATTGTTAGCTGCGGTCCGACACGCCGGGGAGAAAGAGTGTAAACGACTGAGGCTCGCATGCGTCACCGCTATTAGAACTGAGGCAGAATGAGTGACAAGCGATTTCAGTGGTTATTGGTAGTGAGTAGATACGAGGATGTGCGTAGAGTATCGTGAGGTGGTGACATGGTCACGTTGCATTCTGCAAGAGTCATTCTAGCAAGCGGCGATTGTGTTGCAAGATGTCAAGAGGAGGTCTCTGTCTGGAGGCGCAGGTCGTCAGCGATGTGTGAGATTGTGCTGTGGGTATGCTTGTGGTGTGTTGGCTTTTCTGTTTGTTTTCCATTTCAGCTCTGTCCGTGTGACCCAGGTTCTCGCAATGGCATCAAATTCAACGTGCATTGGTCGTGAAGGAAAAAAGGGTTGGATCCCTTTTTTGCCGGGGAGTGTCAATGGAGTTGAAGATTGAACGATCAATTCTTGGTTGTTTGCTCAAAATCAACTTCCCCGATTTTCGCGGAGGCATCAATACGACAGTCATCGTCTCATCGGTCGCTGTTCAGAAAGAAGAGTAAAATATCGTCAGAAGTAACAATGATTTATTATTGTAATATTAGTTTTCAGACCTTAGTTGCTTAGTTCGTTTATTCCTTTTATATGTTGGTGTAACAATACAGAAATATCAAACGGCAGATCGGTGTTTTGGTTTTTGCGTCCGTTATAACTAAGCGTTTCTGAGAAATCTTCAAAGAACAGCGTGGGCCGGAGCGTAGCGAGAGCTGGGCATTAACGGTTTATGAGACGCGACTGACACATGCTCTTAAACTAAATCCTTCGAAATGTCAGACTGTTATTTCCAGTTTCCGATGTAAATGAAAGTTAGTTGAAGGTGTTAATTCCTATGACCGTTGCAAAATTGATAATAGTGATATGGAAATGAAGTCTGACTTGAAGCATCTCGGACTAATTCATCACAGCGTATTGGCCCTAAATGTATGCCACATGCAAGCATAATGTTTATGAGCTAGGTATGCAAATCAAGGTATACGCTTGTACGGTACATTCACTATTTATAAAACTAACTCGTACGTAAGAACTATGGTTTGATCAGTTATACAACGTTTAATACATTTAGACACAATTAACCTACGACGCTTACTTCTATGATGCGTTACCTAAAACTACATTAATATAGTTTCCGCTGAAGGTAATCTCCTATAGCTACCACCTTAGTGGGCAACTTAGCGTTATCTTTGAATAACGAAGAGCAAAAATTCTGAGAACTTTCTTAGTAAAAAGATCGTCTCCTACTCCAAAAAATTAAATATACCCTAGTCTCCACAAAAACGTTCAGAGGTATTCATCCTATCACCTCAAACGGCTCACTATTTGCAGTCATTTAAAAAGTAAAAATAAATTTACCGATGGCAGCGTGCTTATGATTTCTAGATATCTCAGTCACATAACATCTTACTTCGCTACCTAATCGTATCAACGGATGTTTCGCCAAAGAAAAGAAGACTACTGGTTCAAGGAAAATTTATTATTTTTTTTTAAAGGTCGTGAACATCTGTGTTTATAATCACGGAAGAATCACAGCCTCGAGGAAACCATCGGTCGTAGACTACAACCCGAAACGTTATTCTTCCTAATTAATGTCTTACCTTTAACTGGGATAGTTCGTACACTCACCTGATAATCGTATTTTATCCGCTTTGAAAACCGTTTTGCAACCCATCGAATGGATGTTAACACTGGCTCTATTACGGGCAGTCCTAGTTTATGTATTTGGATCTAGTACACCAAGCAATAATAAGCATAAGTAACACTTACCCTTAAGGATTCCAGGTTCTTTTAGTTCCCCCCCCCAAAATACACACAAGCACAACAGATTCATACTTTTCATGCGGCTCAACCTTATTTGACTTAGATTCTCTCACAATGTTTTTTTTGAATGATAGCAGACACACGGATGGTATATTCACATTCTCAAAAAGCTTCAAAGCTTTTTCATCTTCAACCCAGGTTCTAAATTTTCCAGGTTTAATTTGCTCTTCGAAAACTTTGCTAACATCAACTCTGAAGGTGTTCCCTTTATCAGATTCACTCGCAGATTGTTGCATGCTGTAAACATGAACGAGAAAGACACTTTTCTCCGCTATTTCTACATCTTAGGTAATTAAATGACCCAACAAGAATAACGGCAACCAATAAATGGACTGAAAACAACTGCTTCTGTCAGCCAAACATCTTCATGTGCATGATTTCCAGAACTTCTACACATTGCCAATTCATTAACAGCTGAAAACCAACTAAGACACTGAAAGCCGCATAAATACAAGGTATGAAACAATTACGCCGAAATGAATGCACTGACCTGGTAGTGAAAAGTTTCAAAACCAAAGAAATAATTCATTTTAACAGCAACAGAAACAAAAAATGAGGTGAAACGCAACATTTGTGAACAATACGCAACAAGATAAGTCGTGTATAACGGCAGGATAAACGGAACAACAAACGCGTACACGAACAGCTACGGAACTGCAATCCAACATGGCCGACTGATATGGACGAAAATGACCTTCCAGCGTCTCACTCCACCAATGACCTTGATAAGTTACGGATAATTTCAGCCATAGGGTAGTCGTTGAGCGAAAATAATTGGCAGAGGTCCGAGTACCGTGCCTTGTGTCACTCCGCTACGCACTGCTGTCCAAGAGGAGATTTTCGAGTTGATCCCACCGCTCTACCTCCTATCTATGAGGAATCCCCTGAGCCAGTTTAGTAATCTGCCTCTGATACCAAGACTTTCCAGCTTCATGAGTGGTCTTTTGTGAAGTACTTTATCAAAGGCTTTGCTTAAGTCTATGGAGATGACATCAACGGGTCTTTTGTTGTCTTTTGATTTGACCAAGCTTTCTCTTGCAGTGAGGAGATTTGACAGGCATGATAGGTTTCTTCAGAAGCCGTGCTGTGCTCTGGGTAACATGCAGGTAGGTCTCAGATTGTCCAGGATCTTCATTTAACCGCGCTTCAACAACTTATTCACAGTCTAGACAGATTTAATCTCACATATGACTTCTTACAGGACCAAGGAAATCCAGCTGCTGCAAGGGAGGCTATTTAGTATTTTACCAAAGTGTAAAAACACCTAATGGGTTTCCCGCCTTTAATGCCTAAAAAAGTACCCCGGTAGAGGACAACTGTGTTTATGATTAAAATCATCATACAGAGGTTCGCCAGTCATAATTCTTCAACAAGGAACTTTCTTCACTCTAATAGATACTCTTATTTTTGGCGGTGCATTCATATTAATGTCTACATTGAAGGCCATCAAAGCTAAGAAGGGCAAAGTCGAAACGGAGGTTGAGCGGTTCCGTGCTGAAGGCCATTGGAGCAAGGCCCTAGATTTAATATCGATTCATGGGTCTGATCGTTCAGCACCTCTTCGTATGTTTCATTAGAGAGATTAATCACAACATAATATACAATATTATCCCTATCAGATATACTTAATCAGCTGATTCTCTGTGAAAACGAATTAGAATGGACTGACCAGGGCGAGTTAACAACTGGGAGTCTGTCGAAAGCAAAGAAGTTTGCGGAAGAAGTCATAAATGGGAACGATGACCAGTACAAGTTTGAGGCATCTGTTCTTCTGGGAAAGATTTATTACCTTCAAGGAAATACTGAAAAGGCCTTAAAGCTGCTCAGCTCATTAAACTTGTCATCGACCAAAATGGATCCTATCACACTAAGGTTCAATCGTATCGTTAGTGAGGGTCTGGCTGTGTTGGGTGAGTTCGTACTGCTTCCAGACATAACTTCTTAGGTATGTGTAGAGAAGAGCAATGCAAACTCAAGAGTCCAGCTGATGTATCTAAAGAGAAGGATGCCATTATTGCACTGTATAATTTAGCGTGTCATTTGTGCATCAAACATTTACAGGAGTTAGATCGTAACCAACCAGAACATACCACTTCAGTTATCACTTTACCTCCAACGGTAGAAAAAGCTATACAGAGGATTCCTGAGATCATGATTGAAAAAGGGTGAGATTCCTACGTTTCGTTTTTTGATTTGGCACTAACATGTCCTAAGAGTCTTCATAAATCTTTGAATAGAAATTGGTGGGTAGTTATTTGCTATTACTGTTTTCTCCATTTGCTTGATTTCATTATTTAAATATGACCTTATAGTTAGGCTCCTGGCCTGATTATATGGACATTTAACTAAGCCTATCCTTAAGGGTTCTCGGTGAGATGAATTAAAGTTTATAAAATGACTCAGTTTCCCGCCGCCTTCTTTTTAATTTTACAGTCTAGCTTGGCTGTTTTCGAACTCAAGGGTGAATTGGACTCCATATACCTCTGAGTTTATGTGTGTGAAGAACTTAGGGTTGTGTCCGAATTTTGTTACCCGCTTATTTCCACTATAACGTAGGAGTTGGATTGAATATTCTAGTAGCTTTATATTCCTAAAAAACCATAAATACGTTTACTACTTTTGGGGATATTGGTAATCACATTAACATCTTTATTTATTTGTGTATCTTATTTTGAATTTTGAATACAGTGGAGGTTAGATATAATTAAATACCTAATATTATTTCTTCAACCGAGATCCAAGTCAAAACGCAGAAACCTCACATTGATCTTTTTATTTGCAAAAGTTATTCGTATTCTGCTTGTTTTATCTTCTTTTCCTGCTTTCTGTATTGTTTCAAAAGGATCTTGAGTACTTTTCGCCATCCAATTTGTCTCTTCGCTATTCAAGATTCTTATAGAAGACATCACACACATACCGCTTATAAATTATTATCAATAGCACATGCAACACCACTAATATGCTTTTCTGACGGGTGCAGCTTCTCTGCTTGAGTATTGAAAATACCTGCTAAAGGTTTTATATTTGAGCGTTTTATTTTCAGCAACGAACCAAACGGTTTTTGATAAGACTCATGCTTTACTTCGTTCGAACTACAGTCGTTTGGTGTGTAAGCGGAGATTATGAGAAGATATTGACGGGTCTTATGGTCTTTCTTTCCACGAATATATTAGGTGTACTAATTAACTCCAGCAATATGAAGTTTTCTGTATTCGCTAGGTCCGTTTACACTGTGGACTTCAGCAGACTTTCATTTTATGGCATACTATTTTTAGAAGTAAACAGAATAAAAAGCCGGAATATACACGGGAATATAATATATACAGAAAATAATTACGCTTGTGAAGTATATACATTCAACCGTACCACCATATAGTTAAGAAATTAGTTGACTTCACATTTGATATTTAATTTAACTTCTTAATTAAGAATTTCTTTTTTTAATTTTTTCTAATCAAGCAATATATCCGGAGCCATCTCAAAATATCGAGCAATATTGGGTTACTGTGAACTACCTGCTACTAAATCTCTCAGACAAACCCTGTCTCTTCAGTTCTCTGAACTACTGTTACGAAGTGTATGCGTTAAGGTATATCACAAGTACAATGCATCTGTGGATCAAGATTCTCCAGCAGACAAAGTTTGTCACCAATATTCGTTATTAAATTTTCTTGAGAATTATGCGTCATCACTAAAATAAACCCCACATTTTTCTTTCATTAATTTCTGTTGTTCGGTAGTGGTAATAATTTGCTCTATTTCAAAACAGTACTAATTTTATTGTGGAATTTTCAGCATTTGGCACATTATTGCAACTAATTTTATCGAATAATATTACGAATAATTATACAGATAATATTACAGGATTGTCAATGACAGTTCTGATTTGGTATAAGTAGTGACAGACATTTATTTTATAATTTACTTGAATCATATTTGGTATTTCACAGGTAGTTGCTAATTGTAAAACCCAAGATGTGCCTCTATTCAGCTAGATCTACGTTCATCTTAGTGATTAATAGTGTCGTCACTGAGACTCAAACCCGGTACTGGTTATTTCAAAACCCAAAGAGTTATCCACTAGGCTGTTGAGCTATAAGAGCCAATTATGCAACGCGTATCAGCTGTTATTTATCAAAACTCTGATTTAACTGTTGTTTTTAACGAACCGAAATGATCAGTCTCTGTCAACAAATCGTCTCTTGGCACATTGCATAAGAGCTGACTACTGTAGCTCAGTAACCTGGTGGATAGTTTTGCAGTTTAAAAAACAAGGGGTGTTGGATGCATATCTCAGTGAGAAAATTCTGGTGCGGGTAAATTCATTTGACGAGTCCTAAGTAGGAGAGCTGAATACATTTCTTGAATTCCACTGCTAACCACCACCTATTAAATGATATCAAAAGTTGAAATCAAATTCATTATCAATATGTCCGCATCAGGAACCGATGTGTTAACAGATATCGATCGTATCAGTGCATTAAAAACAAACAACGAAGGATTCATAGGATTTTCTGATTTTATTGTCCATATATTATTGTTGAATAGTCATGGTTATGCTTCTTTGTTTTTATCCTGTAGTACACAGTGATTTAAGTCGTGCTCTTATTACTTTTAGGATTACCAGTTGATTCCATACCGATATCCTACAAATAGGTACATTCCAGAAAACCGAATAGAAGAAGCCATCCTTTCGTTAATGATTTCTGAGCACATAGTAAGTCAATTGTAATAAACAATGATCTGCGGTATTGACTTCATTTATTTTTTGCTACTGTTTTGTTTTATGGTAATGCATTAGTGTTAAGTGAACTGTAGCTGTGACTCTAGTAGGTTGGACTTTCGATATACAGTTGGTTTGTCGTAAGTTAGGACATTCACTTTACTTGAGGTTGTTTGTCGTAGTAGTTATCATCGGGTTGCAGTGTTCGAAAAGTCTCTGAAATGATCTAATGGGAGAAGGTTCATGTAATAATGATACTAAATTCATTAAGACATTAAAAATGACTACAAATAATGACTCTTCTCTTTGAAAATCTCATGCTTTACTAAGCCGTAAAAATATCAGAAGGTAAAGGCCTGTAATTTCAAGGATGTTTTTCGCTCCACGGAGAAAAATTTATAAACTGGGTCAGATATAAAGTAACGTATCATGAATGGCGAAATGTAACACAAAATTTTCAAGTGGGACCATTCTGTCAGACTTTATTAAATAAAATTGTTCACCTTAGCGGCGGATAACTTAAAATATTGGTTTCTATTTAACCCAGTTTATATTGTAACAACAGAAGGCAAGACGCGGAAGCCAAGGTATATTTTTAAGTGATCAAACCGCTATTTATGCAGACACAGTTTTCTATTCTCTAACCAATCATTAAGCGTGCGATTTCGGCTTAAATTAAACGACATAAAGTAAAATGTTCAAATATAGATAGTATTCTGTTACTAACGCAGTATTGAACTGTGGGAAGATGTGAGAATAATATTCCGTTGGAACACATTGTCTGTATCACACCACCAAAGTATTACTTCCCTCTTAAAAAGTAGATGACTCTCTAGGATATATTAATGTATGTAAAACATGGACACTGTGGTAGTATGTAATTCCATATTAATTTGTTTGTTGGATCTATCGCACAGTGAAACAATATTATTTGCTGAATGACGTTTCAAACATTATTTATCATAGTCGTACCAGTTAGTATGTTCATAATGGGATGTAATTTCTGCAATACACTTGGAAATGCTTTGGTCTTGTCGTTTTGTCTCATTGACCTTCAAGTAGGGATGGGTGACTTCTCATATTCCTAACTGTAGCACTTCCAAAGTATCCAGCAGAACATAAAGTCGTGTCATGTTAATTGTTTCCACTGGATCTTTTATACTGTTTGCGCATAAGATCCACACCTATTCTTTTAAATACAATATGTGCAAAGCATTTCCTCTGCATCCAGCTCTTTATTTACGAGTCCAATTTGTTGATGACTGGTAAGAACCATGTACACAAACACGCTGGTTTAATGTAAAAACTTGGTCCTTGGCTCCTTTGTGGCGGTTTTTTTCTATTTATCTATCTTTAATTGCATCGATGATGGTTTTTAGTTATTGGTCGAATATTCTTTTGCTAGAAACAGCTGAATCAGAGCTAAAGGGCTTGGTGTGATGCACTAAAAGAGATAAAGCCTCCCCAGGATTTCTATCACCGTCCTCTTCCTTCGCTTCTATGGAAGCAAAGATGTCGAAAATTGTTCTTTATGATTATTTGGCTGAGGATTATGTGAAAGCTCATGAGAACGTTGAATGCGAAACTGACTACGTAGGACATAGATTGTGTGAACTGAGTCCCGTTTTCAGTCACTAGGACATTAGGAGAACAAGAGTGAAAATTGCTAACTGAACTGCTGTTGCACTCGACTTCCTGTAATGCTTATAAAAATCCTGTGGTAGTAAAGAAGGTCCTTTGATATACTTCAAGAAATCTGTAGCTAGCGGTCATCGAGTATAGTTGACTTATACTTGAAACTATTGTTTCATTTGTAGTGGTCAAAACAATTTTATCTGTTGCGGTTATTTTGATGCTTATGCTTGTATACTGTAGAGATTATCAGAGAACATCGAAGAGTATGTGATCATGAACAGTGGATATAAGTTAATGATTCGATGTCGATCAAATAGTTTTTAGTTACAGGAGGAATCATGCCCCGACTAGCCGCTCTGGATGGACTTCAAATAATTCCATCTTATTCATCTAGTGCTTTCGACTTAATGTTGTCACTCTGTTCTCGGTTTTTAGTATAATTATGAATTATACTTTATTTCATTTTCTGAATATTTGGGTGCTGCTACCACGCTTGCGTTATTTTTGATACATTACATGTATTTTAGCAATTGATTTAGAGAAATTTTATCACGAACTTAAAATACGAGTATTTTTCACCCTCGTCTATAATTTATTGAAAAAGTGAAAAACTGAATATCCCACTAATTTAGTTTTTATCTGTGTCATTATGTAGGCTAGCCAGGATGTGATTCTGAATCGACCATCTGAGTTGTCTGAAGCTCAGATAGTTCGATCATTTAATAATGCAGCTGCTGTTTATGATTTACTTGCTATTCTGCTTACCAAGGTGAAACATTTCAGATTTCTTTCTAAAGTAAGTAAAGTGATTGGGCATTCCTTTTTTCCTAAAATCACTTAGTAACGCAATTTTTATGGTAAGCTTCATAATTACGAATTCTCAAACAAATATTTAAAGATATATAACACAGAACACAGTATAGTCACTTGTCAAACCAAAGAAACGTCTTCTACCTCTATTTACCGAGAGAAATCAAGTTCTGAATAAAAATAAAAGTATCAGGAGGGAATCAGATACGGTATGGAGGGGATAGAGTAAAAATGAGTAATTAATGTTCTTAAGCAATTTTCAAGATAGTGGCGAGTATTCATAGCTAAGAGTGATCGGTTTTGGTTTGTTGTTTCATGAGTGGGAAATGGTTATTAGACGTTTCAGTGTCCTTGTATATATTTCCACTAGTCCAACTTCACAGGCAAATGAATTCATATGACTTTCTGTAGATTATAAAGTGCGTCTATAGTTCAGTGGTAGAATGTTCGCCAACCAGCCATTCTGGAGGTCCGGGTTCGATTCCCAGTTGATGCACTCCTAACCGGTCGTAAGTTCGGAAAAAACGGAAGTTTGGACTTTAAGCATTATTTCTTTTAACTGTTTTTATGGGTCGTACAGCCGCTTTACTGCAGACAGATAATTCCCTAAAGACAATAGTGACTTAACACTTTTGACCTTTTACAAATCCTTACAGTAGACTAAACAGGACACCAAGCGACTTAAGGATATTTTTCCCTATTTTCAGCAAATTTACTTATTTTGCTAAAGAATGCAGATAGGCTGAGTGCACCTACAATTTATGTAAATTTTTTCGCTGAGATAAACTCCACACGGTACTTCAGATTTTTAGACGCCACTCAAATTCGTGTACTTCAGAAAGATAAGCACTCCATTTTCTCTGGCTTTTATCATTAACTGTGTGTAATATGGTTTATTTGTCCTTATCTTCTATCTGCGTCGGTGGCACAGTGGTTAGGACTCTCGCCGACCATGCACATGGTCCGGGGTTCGAGCCCACGCCGGCGCACACCTGATATCTATGGTCGGCCTGCAAAATTTGGGCTACCGATATCCACACTGAAAATTCCATACTTGTACCAAAAATACAGTGTGGAATCAAGCTGTAAATCAGAAATAAAAATAAAAAATAAATCTAACGTGAGCGGTTATCAAATCATATGGTTTCTGCTTTTTAAAAATAAATAGTCAAATCACAGCTTTAACGATCACATGATATTATCAACTTGCCTGACATGCAACATCCTGTCAGATAAAGTGCAGTTAACTGTCAGTCGAGATTCTGTTCGAAGTCATGCGGGACTAGTAATGTAATTCCTATGGTACTCGTGAAATATCCGAACTTATTCACCAGTTTTGTATATGTCCCAAAAATCCAACATGCATCATAAACTTAAATTTTGTTGTAGTTCCAGCTAGAGAAGGACAGTAAAAGTTACAATACACATTTTGAAGTTTTGTTTCTTGAAAGACAAATATCGCGAATCATCTTTAGCATCGGAAATATAGGCAACGTGCATTTAAAAGTTTGTGTCACCAGATCTGATTCAAAAAGCACAACAAAAAACCAATAGACTCAGCATCAGTAAAGAATCCTTTTGCAGTGAAATCAATTTTAATTCATTCGCGACCTAACATATTAGTTTGAGCCATATAGGGAAGTGTAAATTTCCAGCATGGGGTCCTCGGGATGATAAGTATCAATGGTTAATTAAACTAAAATTTCTTCAGTCAATAAATACACGACAAGTTAGTCCAAATGGGCAAAATGCATGGAATAATCGAATATGAAATCAGAGCGAATTTTCATCAGAAAAGTATAAAACGATGAAAATAATAATAAAACTGCAAAATTCAGTGAAATTAACATCCTGATTTAAAAATTGTCCTCCGAGTTTATCTGATTTTAGGTGTATATTTTTTGCTCTCCATTGACACTTGAATCTAAGATCTATCGTATCGAATATTGAAGCCTTATCCATTAATATAGTTATCATATATCTAAGGCATAGAACTATACACTATTGATTGAATGAGATGAGTAAGTCGTATACCGCTTACATTAACCAGTAGTATTTACTAGCCGAGTCGAAGTGCTCTAAAAGCCGAATGGCGGTTTCACTCGTTTGGGGCCGAGCTCATCAGCTTTTTCCCCTGTTTAACTCAAGTCAGAGAGCCAAATCAGTTCAAACCACCTGACTTGAGAATTTGGTTTATGGTGTTACCAGTAAGCCCAGGTAGCTAGTCGGAGATCTCTGAGGTGAGTCAAACCGGGTACACTGATGATGAGCCCGAACCTAAACGAGTGAAACGGCTGTCCGGCGTTAAGATCACTTTTCGATCTGGCTAGCTAATTCTACTGGTTAATATGAGTGGTATTCAATTTACTCATCTCAATCTATCGGCAACATACAGCTTTATGCATTGATGCTTGGTTTGTTGATTACCATTTGTGGTATCAAGCAGCTCACATATTGTGACCTGAATAATATCGGTTTCCAAAGGAAACTGTAGTGAATTCTCACCTCGAACTGTGTAAATTGCAAATCGAGGGCTTGATCTATGACACATTTACTTGAAAAAAAATGATGGATAAAGTTGTTTTGCATGACGCTTTCGAGTGGGAAGTTTGGTTGTGCGTCAGCTGTGTGTCAGTAATAAAAGTATAAACTTTTAGTGCTGATAAAATTAGGTTTGTAAACTTACTTTGAATGCAATTAATAACATCATTACATCACGCGTTCACATAAAATGTTTCTTACTTTACACTCGCTCTTCGCTAAGAAAATGCAATAATACTGTGTGACATGTGCTACTGATAGCATTTATCAGTAGTATGTAAAGGGACACTCAATGGCATAAAAACATCAAATAGTGGAGAGATAAATTAGACGTCAAAGAGAGTAAATGATTCAGCGCTGCGACAAATCATGGGAGGTAGACACGAAAGGCAGACAAAGAAGCACAATACAAATAGCAGAAGTAGCACAACACGGAAGATCCGTGCAAATAACGATTTGCAGATAAGGTGTACCTGATTTCGCCATATAGAGATACCAGATTCCAAATAAATATTGCTTTACCAAGTCTCTTGTCTTTCGCCGTTTCAATACTACACAATACAACTAGTAGGAATTCCGTCTATGATATTTTCACATTATATATTTTACACTCAGTAAAATTACAAACTGGAATATTGTTATTCTTTCATACTCATAAAAATTACTTTTCTACGAGTTCATAAACAATTCTTACTTGCTTTGTCTCTTTTGCTTTCATTTTCATACAATAATTGTGGGTAGTGTCTTGAAAAAGCATTGAAATTCTCTTATTGTCAATTTCATATCTGGTATCAATTTGCGCTTTCACTGATTAGTTCTAAACAAGTAAGTTTTTGTAGTTCATTTTTAAATTAACGAAATCGTTGCTTTAGAATAGTATTATTCACTAGCCTGTTTTCATTATTTTTAATACTCCTTTTAAAAGCTTCTGATATTTGTAGGCGTTATGTGCCTTATATTTTTTGAATTTACTAATTTTGCAACAAGTCAGGAATTTCAAAAAACAAATTGAGCTAAGAAATATATTGCTTTTCAATTAGTTCCTCATGAACAGCTCTACAATAACGTATGTATACATACTTTTGTAACAACAGAAGACAAGGCCCAGGCCACAGATCGTTTATTACGGAAATAAGCACGTATTTACACATATTTCATGTACATTATTATAGCTTATTCAAGCAGACAAACACAGTCTTCTGATTGCTTGTTTCTTGCCCAAGGTTATTCCGTACTACCTCTGACTGTTTTCTCAGAAACTTAAGCCATATATCTGCGAATCGTATTTGTCCACGTTAGGTCTGCTGTGATTGGTTGTTGAAACAGCCTTGTTCATATTTTCTCACGGCCCATATTAGTGACCTAGACATTAACGTAGATTAGTGTCAACCAATCGGCTAGCAGCCTGCTCTCACCACACTTTCACATCAAAATTATACCAGTCATACGATGATCTTAGTCAATTAGAATTATCAGTTTTAAAATATCGAAGCAGTGTAAATAATTGATTATAATAAACAGAGTTAGTTAGTGGGAGTTAGCAATCAATTGTTGGCCAGCAAGGAATACAGATTTAATAATAGTGACAATAACGCCTGTATTCTGAAAGGTGACTATACAGTGTACAGTGTCGAGGATCTTCAAGTAAAATACTAACTGACAACAGATAGCGTGATACACTGTTGTTGTCTGACCTGAACTGCAAACAAATCCCTTAGGATACTTTCTCTTTGTCCCCTTCGAGAAATGCACAACATTTGATCGAAAGCCAATTAATTAGAAAAGGGACAGGAATACAACTTGAGATCCAGGGATATAACTGAATAATTGAAAAGTTCAGGAAATTAGTTTTATTTCTCGAACAGTGACAGTTTGTACTACAAAATCTCAGGAACAGTTATTGCATGTATTGTATAGGATACGTTGCCACCCACGGTGTTGCTTTTTCTCAAGTTTAGTAGAAAACTTCCGAATTATCAGGCTGCAGACGTCTTTAAATAATTGCGAGAGTCGGAAACACCACACTAGAGGTCATGTCTTGATAGATTAAAACTAACTAAACAAGTGAAATTATATGCAATATAATGATGGAGTGGTTTTGGTAGCTCAAGTTTTAAGCAGGCCGCCTGTGAATTTTGAGATATAGGAGCTGTGGAAATAAACATGGAATTCAAAATCAGTTAGTTTATAGAGGTTAGTATTTCACATTACATATTACACAACCAATAATTTGCATTAAGTAATGTGATGACCAATAAGAATACCTAAATACAAATAATTTAACTGAATTGGCTAGAATAGTTATAATCATAATAAAATATCAGTGTCAAGTGATAGTTACAAAGAAGGGGGAAAATCATTTGTACGACTGTATACATATTAGTGGACGGCTACAGCAAAGAAAGAGGCTGTGCGAATTCCTTTCAAACACACACAGATATGACCTGTTCACATGAATTCCGATAGCCTCTGTTGCATGTAAAATTCGTGCTCGTAGAGAATGCAAACGGTTGGGTGAAATGTGATAAATAACTTTAAAAGCTCTGTTATCGTCGAATTGATATCCTGCATTGACGAGATGAGCCAGTATTGAGCTGTGTATTATTATTATAATAACTGCTAAACGTCGATGTTTGTTTCTCCTGAGTTATTTTACAATACCACCCTTTACTCACTAAGCTTCAAAATCAAATGTCTTACCAAGGGAATTTCTAGTATATCTGTAACAACAGAAGACAAGGGCTGGCAACAGATCGTTTTATTATGAAATCAACACGTATTTATATATATTTTATGTACATTAATAAGGCTTATGCAAGCAGAAAAAGGCAGTCTTCTGACTGGTTGTTTCTCGGAAGTTAAGCAGACAAACACAGTCTTATGATTGGTTGTTTTCGATATTTCTCGGAAAGTAGAGCCATCTATCTGCGAATCATATTTGTCCACGTTTAAGTTTGCTGTGATTGGTTGTTGAAACAGCCTTGTTCATATTTTCTCACGGCCCATATTAGTGACCTAGACATTAACGTAGATTAGTGTCAACCAATCGGCTAGCAGCCTGCTCTCACCACACTCGTCCCCCCGTCAAATAGCTTCGTGCGCAGACGTTCCGACCTTCTGGGTGCTACATCCTCTAGTTGAGGATTGTTACTGACCGGCTTGTCCCACTGTACCTATCTTTGGAGCTTACTGGCGTTAACTCGTTTCTGTTTATCACCTCTTCGGATGGTATATACTTGACCCCGTCTTTTTGTGATTGTGTACGATCCTTCCCACTTTGGAAGGAGTTTTCGTGAACCTGGCCCGCATCCAACTGTATATCTTTTGTCTCTACACTTCACTTGGTCCCCGACTGCAAAGATAATGCACTGAGTCTTTCTTTTCAGCTGAGACTTCGCGACATCACTCCGCTGCTTCTTCATTACATTCTTGACTGCTTCTTTCCGCTCTGCTTTTAATTTCGTCGTACTCCACTTTTGGTGCATGGGCCAGGTCTCATTGTGTACCGGTAATCGTGGTTTTCTACCATACATCAGTTGGAAGGGTGACTTCTTCGTTGTTTCCTGAGTGGTAGCCCGATGTGTTAGTAAAATCAGTGGAAGCTCCGTTTCCCAGTTCCCGCCCTTCGAGGCCAGCCACTCCTTCAGTGTACGGTTGTTTCTCTCCGTTAGGCCATTCGTTTGTGGATGGTATGGGGTCGTTCTGATCCTCTTGATGCCCAGCTGTTGCAAACGGGAAGTAAACTCTTCACTCTCGAAACAGGGACCTTGGTCTGTCAGTATTGTCTTCGGTACGCCGTGGTCTGCAACAATGTGTCTAACTACTGCATCTGTCACGGTTCTTGCACGTTGGTCTGGGATTGCTACGGCGTCTACCCATCGTGTCGCGTGTTCCGTCATCACCAAGAGGTACTGATTACCATTGGATGTCTGAGGAAATGGACCCATGACATCTACGGACCACAAGTCACCTATCGCGGTAACTGGAATCGACTGAAGTGGTGGTCGTATACACCGGTCACCTTTCATCAGCTGGCACCGTGGACATCCAAGTACGTATCTTGCTACGTCTTCTCTCATACCTGGCCAGTACATACTTTGTCTTAGGAGGTCGGTCGTTCTGGCCACGCCTGTATGCGCTAGCTGGTGACATTCTTCTATCATGTCGTGGCGCGACGATTGAGGTATGACAGCCAGCCAGCTTCCGTCGTTCTCTCGCCAGGTCAGAGTCCCGTAGGCATTCACTCTGAGTCGATCCCTCTGTCTGAGTAGTGTGGTTAGCTCCTTACTCGCCGTAGTTTGATCCACTTCTATTCCGTTGGTGATCACCTGTATTACTGTATTCAGCGTATCGTCCAACCTCTGCCTACGTGCAAGTCTTAGTGGGTCTTGTTCTACTGCATGCACTCCGTAAGCGACCTCGGGCAACTCAGACTCATCTTCTGGTCTCGATAACAAATCTGCCAAGACATTTTCACTTCCAGGAACGTGTGAGATCGTAAAATCGTACTCCTGAAGACGCAACATCCACCGTGACAACTTCCCCCGTGGGTCTCTCGCTGTCTTCAAAAATTGTAGCGGCTTATGATCAGTTTCGATGTGGAACCGCCGGCCGAGTAAATAAGGTCTCCATTTGTCGACTGCCCATACCATTGCTAAACATTCTTTCTCTATCGTTGAATACTTTCTCTCTGTGAGGGTCAAAACCCTACTGGCATACTCAACGATTCCCTCGTCCTGTCTTAGGACCGCACCTATAGCGTAGTCACTGGCATCTGTGCACACTGTGAACTGTCTTCCTGGCACAGGTAGTTTTAGCGTCATTTGTTGGTGGTCGAGCAGCTGTTTAATTCTGTCGAATGTCCTCTGCGATTCTTCCGACCAAACAAACTTTGGCTCACCTAGTAGCCTGTATAGAGGGGCTGCTATCTCATTGAAGTTCTTCACGAAGCGACTATAAAACGCTGCTCTACCCAAGAATTGTCTCAGTTTTCTCTTTGAATTCGGGGCTGGAATCGTTTTAATCGTCAAAATTTTCTCCGGCAGTGGTTTAATCTCACCATTTCCCACTTTATGTCCCAACAGAGTAACATTCTTTTTGGCTATCTGGGACTTGGTTTTGTTGACGCGTAGTCCAAACTCTTCGATGCGTCGCAGCACGGCTTCTACATGGTTGACGTGATCGTTTTCGTTTTGACTGTATATGACGAGATCATCACCATAAACCTCCACGTTTTTCAAGTTCTTAAGTAATAGCTTCATCAGTCGTCTGAACGTAAACGGTGCACCTGCTAGTCCAAACGGCATGCGTTTAAATCGATATTGTGTCTGACCCACGATGAAAGCCGTCTTATCTCTATCACCTTGTTTTATCGGTATCTGCCAGTATCCTGAGCGAAGATCGAGAACCGAAAACACATTCGCACCTTGTAGGCGATCTAAAGTTTCTACCACTGTTGGCATGGCACACGGTCTTAACTCTGTCATACTGTTTAACTGTCGAAAATCAACACAGAATCTATACTTCCCATTCGCTTTTTTTACTAACAGCACTGGAGAGTTGTACGGGCTATCAGCTTCCTCAATAATATCATCTTTTAACATCTCTTGCACTTGTCGCTCCACTTCGCCTTCCAGATGACATGGAACTCTTCGCGTTAAAAATGACCTTACTTTCGGATCACTTAACGGAATTTCATGATTCACCTTATCGCAATAACCGTATGGGTCCCCATCTCCAGTGAACAGATGATCGTATTTATTAATTAACTCTGTCACATTGTGTACCGTCGACAGCTTAATCGCTGCTATCTCGCTGGTCTCATACATGTTGATATGCCCGTATTTCGTGATCACCACGTTCGCTTGCGTGTCGATTATTGCACCAATCTCACGCAGAAAATCCGCTCCTAATATCGTTCGCTGTAGTTCGGGTACAACAATGAAAGGAAACGTCACCTCGCAGCCACCAACAACGACCGTACAGTTCGATCTACCCGTGATACGCAACACATACCCGCCTACTGTTTGTACTGTCAATGAACACGGACTAACACTCTTACATAAATTCTTATCTATTAACGACACGGCCGCCCCTGTATCTATCAAACATACTACTTCTCGATCATTCACTCGCAACTTCGAATACAGAGCCTCTTTCTCAATAGCCCCCACTAAATCTAGGTTCATACGAAAGAAAGAACAAGCATTATACCGTCTGAAATTTTTTCTTTTTCGCCTTTCTGGGCAGTATCTTCTCCAGTGTCCCGGCTTACCGCATTCAAAACACCGGTCTTTTCTATCAGCCAACTTTAACGCCGCCACTTCCCGCTGCAATGCTTCAATTTTCTGCTCATATTCGTTTGGTTTTGGTTGGTCTATAGCGGCTACCGTTGTGCTCAGCAGCTGTCTGGTCACCTTCGCCAGCTCACTAATATCCATCGGCTGCGTTGCGTTAACCAGTTTTAATCGCTGAGAAATGTGGTCTGGGACACTCTCGATGAATTGGGAAGACAGTAACTGCGCTTCTGATTCTTCATCTAAAGTGGGAAGCGCGCGTCGAAGTAGATTAGTCAGTTTCACCGCCAACACTAGCGGGTCTCCATCAGGTCCAAGCTTCATTGACCGGAACTGCTGCATTGCTAGCTGTCTGTCTGTTTCGCTGTCAAACTCGGACACTAGTCGTTCAACCAATTTCTTCCAAGACGCTGTGCCATTTGACCTGTCTACGCTGTCATATGCAGCCTTCGCTCGGCCTCTCAACAGCGTCCCCAGGACAACTGCCTTCGCCGCCTGCTCCTTGACACCCACCAGCTCAGCAACGGCCTCGAAGTCACGTAAGAAGCTCCGTATGTCTCCTTCTTCAAACGCAGCTGGCCACGGGATCTTCATTTTTTGGAGGCAGCGACACCAAATGTAACAACAGAAGACAAGGGCTGGCAACAGATCGTTTTATTACGAAAATCAACACGTATTTATATATATTTTATGTACATTAATAAGGCTTATGCAAGCAGAAAAAGGCAGTCTTCTGATTGGTTGTTTCTCGGAAGTTAAGCAGACAAACACAGTCTTATGATTGGTTGTTTTCGATATTTCTCGGAAAGTAGAGCCATCTATCTGCGAATCATATTTGTCCACATTTAAGTTTGCTGTGATTGGTTGTTGAAACAGCCTTGTTCATATTTTCTCACGGCCCATATTAGTGACCTAGACATTAACGTAGATTAGTGTCAACCAATCGGCTAGCAGCCTGCTCTCACCACATATCTTTTTTCCTAAAAATTACTGATCACTAGTATTTTCTGAATGTTAAACGTTAAAGAAAAATAAAATGATCCGATCAGGCAAGTTACATAATCTATTAGATTTTGTTAAGGGAGTCAGGAAGAACCAAGATATCCTAATCTCACACAACTAACTTTCATGCTACACCTCTGGTTATCTCTTTGTTTCTTACACTGAGTCACCAAACTGGCGAACAATAAGCAACATGAAATCATTTCCTTGGAATGCGTAATATATGTTCAAGCCACTAGAGTTTGCTACTTTATTCATCTCGTTATTCCCCTTGTTTGATTATTTTGAACCGAAACACCAGTCTCTGTTGATATTTCGGCTTCTAGCACAAACACTAACGATGTCTGAAAATTAAGGTGATCTTATTTTGGTTAATAATGACTAGCACTGGAATCCAAGATGTGCATTTCGTCCTATATGGGACTCGCCATCCGAATGCACCTGCCTCAACACTGAGAGATGTGCGTCGGTGGCACAGTGGTTAGGACTCTCGCCGACCATCCACATGGTCCGTAGTTCGATCCCCTGCCGACGCACACCTGATATCTATGGTTGGCCTGAGAAATTTGGGCTACCGATATCCATGCTGAAAATTCCATACTTGTACCAAAAATACAGTGTGCAATCAAGCTGTAATCAAAAATATAAAAAAAATAAAATATGATCTTCCCACTGCTTTCATCGTTTCAAAAAAATGTGGACCTTAGTTTGGTACTTGAAAAAACGTGTTCCAGATAATTGAGTTTAAACAAATAAACTCTTGTCATAAAAGATGACAAACCTCTTAGGTCCTAATACGAAAAAGTAATCTACAGCATTTGTATGTTTCACAAGGCTGTAATCATCAAACTCAAATTTAACTACTTGATCAAAAATTGAGATGTTTACCGGTGCATGTAATCATCCATCACCTTTCTTTTAATGTAGTATAGTTATTGTAAGCTTTTATTCCATTGTACTAAGTACTCAAGAAATAATTCTACATAGAATTGGTTAAAGTGTATTAATGATGAACAGTCACAGGACTGAACCCTAACAGTTGTTTAGCCTACAAGAAATTCATTCTGGTGACAAGTTAAGATAATAAAATTCAATTGGTTGCGTAAAGCAGCAGTTTTCCTTCTTTGTTCATGTTACAATGTATTATTTGCTTGTTTTCTGTTATGCAGCATTACCGTGGTTATTTAGCACTACGTGAATGTTTAAGAATTGATCCGTCAAAAATAGCAATTTACCTACTTGCAAGTTCACTTTGTTTGGGTAATTTAAATCTAATTGAAGAAGGCATGGAATTAGCGTCTCAAGCCATAGAGGTAATGTTTATTATTTATTATTATTTATTTTTGGATGATTGTACTGAAAATGTGCAAGTTTTATAATCTGATATAATTGATTATTTAAGTCGGAAAAAGCTGGTCCAAAGTGGGATCCGGTCAAGAGATTTCCAAGCTACAGACTTATATTTTTAAAAAAAGTATTATGATACTCCATTTGTTAGTCCGTCTTAACCTATTTCATCTACTTTCGTATAATGTTAGGACGTTATATGTGTTCCTCATTGTTAGCATTAGGATTTAAAGCAATATGAAATGTGTCTTTCGATTCCTTATTGAAGTAACAATAATAATGACGCCCCTCATCTCGTTGTCTCCCATTCAAGTTGCGCTCAAGAGTCCGCTCAGCATGTGATGTCATTCCGTGTATTTCCAGTCGATCATCATTTCTTTCGTCCTATTTACTGAGCTATTTTATTTATTTATTTATGATTACAGCTTGATTGCACACTGTATTTTTGGTACAAGTATGGAATTTTCAGCATGGATATCGGTAGCCCAAATTTCGCAGGCCGACCATAGATATCAAGGTGTGCGTCGGCGTGGGCTCGAACCCTGGACCATGTGCATGGTTGGCGGGAGTCCTAACCACTGTGCCACCGACGCCACCTGACTGGTTCACTACCAGAGTTTCTTTCTTGCTCTGATTCAACATTAGTGTTGGAGATTCGGTTCTGGTTATTTATGCTGAATACAGGCGATTTCCACACTGATTTCAAAGTAATGAAAATCTGCCTTTCCTTTCCTATCTAGTTGTTGACATCCTTTTCTGTGACATTTTTAGTTGAAACGATACTACCTGTTGATAGTGGTCGATGCTTGTTACTACAACATAGTATAAACATGTCAATAAACTATATTTTTTAATATATTAAATATTCCCATAGTAAAATTTAGAACAACACATTTAAGCGAACAATATTGTTTTCAATTAGATCTCATCAGGCTTAAGTCTAATATATATAAGTTCACAAATAAATGTTCGAATATAAACCAATCATGGTGTTTTGTCTATAGGATAATACGATGGTGAATATAAATTGTGCAATTAGTCATAAAAGTAGTACGCAGCTGTCTCCTTGCGTTCCATCCGGTAGAACTAGAAGCAGCTATAGGCGGCTATATGCTAGGACCACCAAATACAAAAACTCCACAATACCATATCTGGCACAGCTGTTATGTGATGAGAAATCCGTTAGATATGACACGATAAACTTACTGCGGCACCCTAACAAATAGTCCCATTAGTTTTTGTTTTCCCTTCTTCGTTACTATTACACTGTTGTTCTCATCTATCCCACATCAACTTTATATTTCATATCCTGTGGTGCATTGTTTGAAATGTAAACTCTACGCTGTTTTTTATTTTTATTTATTTTATTTATTTATTATTTATTTTATTTATATTTATTTATCTTTTGATTTTAAAAATCTTATATAATTTATGAGGTAATTAGATGCAATATATTGTAATGCACGCTGAAAATTCCATACCTGTACCACAAATACCGTTTGGAATAAAGCTGTTACTATTATTATTATTATTATTATTATTATTATTATTAATGATGGTGATAATAATAATGGTTTTATCAATAATAAGGATGAAAACGTGAGGCGATCTGTGATAGCACGAATGACGAAAAACAGCATCATTAAACAAACAATTGTTCAGGTGGAAGTAGTCGATAAAGGCTAGTAAAAACAAATGAACCAATTAAGTTATGTTAGATCGTAAGGGACGGAAGTGAAACATGTTTATAATGAAGATAAGATTAAGGGATGATAAGTGGTTGAAAATATAAACAAGGGGTGGTGTAGAAGTCTTTAGTTGGTTATGTCTTAATAGGCCAAGGGAGGGATAATGGCTGTACGAACTTTTTTGAATGCATAGTTTAGGTTTAATAGTTTGAATGCCTATCGCTTCAGCTGTGTGCAGTAGACGAATGCAAAGTCTATTAGAAAGATTCGGTGAGATACGATGAATTACTTTGAGGGCTCTCGTTTTCTCGACTACATGACCACTATCAATTAAATGTGACTGAATCGGGCTACGGATTGTTTTTGTCTGCCCTTTGCCAAACCACGATGGGAGGTGTTCACTAACACGTTGGCTCAGCTGTCTAGTATTACGCCCAACATAACTGTCACCGCAGATGCAGTTGAATTGATAAATACACATAGATGTGGCAAAACTATCAAGCTTATCCTTCGTTTGCGTCCCAATCATTCGTCGGCTAGAGAATGACAAACATAGGTGTGTTGCGTAAAATGTTCTTCGTGTACTTCTTGAAATTCTTCGGAATAAAATCTCACTTGATAAGTCACCATTAAATTGTAACTTAATAAATAGAGGTTTCTTATGCGCAGTAAGAGTCTCAGGTTTTTTATCTGATGTTTTCTTATGTTTCTTTACGAAACTACTCGGATAGCCCATCTCCAACAAGAAATCGTGAATATATTCAAATTTCTTTTGTAAGACGTCATCCGTACATATCTTTCTTGCTCTGCTCCAGAAAGAAACATCGGTCGCTATGACATACACACTTTGTTTGACACGTTCAGTACACAACTGAAAAAATTTATCCATTTAAAAGCTTGATATCTTGAGCCGTCACACTTTTATGCAATGTTCTCTTTAGGAAATTCATTTCAGTTCACAGTAAAAGATCTGTCTAGTTCGGTGCGAAAGGCTAAACGCTCAGACATAGTCGTTCTAGCTGGTGACTTTAACGCTCAAGTAGGGAAATTGTGTCAATCCGAGAAGGATGTCGGTGGCACCTATGGAGTTCCGTGCCAGCGAACTGACAACGGTGACCGTCTCCTACAGTTCTGTTCTGATAATCATTTGTTTCTTGTAAGCACTAACTACAAACACAAGGAGAGACATTGTTTGACTTGGAGACCCACTTCATCAAACCAACGCTGGACACAAATAGACCACATAGCAATAAGCTACCGTTGGCGTGGGTCGGTAGGAGATTGTCGCTCCTTCTGGAACACGTGTGTGGATACCGACCATGCACTGGTTCGCGCTCGGGTGTGCTTACGACTGAACGGACGTAGGAAACAGCTGGCGGTAAAACCATCACGTGCCCAGCTCGGTCAGGAAACTAAATCCGTATTTCAGGAAGAACTAGCTAAACACATATCTGTGTTCGACAGCTGTGCTCACCCTGAAGAAGCTTGGAAAAATATCCAGGCAGCCATAGATACAGCTGTAAAAGCTGTGAATAAGACAAATCCAAAGGTGAGTAAAAGCCACTGGATCTCCACCGCCTCATCCGAACTGATAGATGCTAGAAGACTTATTCCGGCGAGCTCCGAATCCAATGAGGAGCGAAAGCTGCACAAGAGGAAACTTACGAAAAGTCTCCGCAAGGACTGTGAACAGTGGTGCGTGACAAAAGCCAAAGAGATGGAGAAAGCTTCGAGGATAGGCAACACCAGGCAACTCTTTAGACTCATCAGGGAAACGGGTGGGAGAAGACAATCTCGGAAAAAAATGGCACTATAATTAGCTCCCAGGATAGACGACTGGATCGTTGGAAAGAGCATTATGAGGAGCAGTTTAATTTGCCCACAGCCACGCTCAACCTTCCGAATATACAACACCTCGCTGAATGGGATATAGACACAGGTCTTCCATCCCTAACTGAGGTTACTAAAGTTGTCACCAATCTGAAACTAGGCAAAGCAGCGGGACCTGATGGAATGACTCCAGAGGTATTTAAGTACGGTGGAGACAGCTTACTGTCCGGATTAACTGAGGTACTAGGCAGCGTCTGGGAATCAGAAGAAGTCCCATCGGGTTGGTGTAAGTCACTGATTATCCCCATATACAAGAAGGGAGACAAGTCTTCCTGTGATAATCACAGAGGGATTAGCTTGACTAATATAGTATCTAAAGTCTTAGGCTCAATAATCATGCGTAGACTAAGTGGTGCTCGGGAGGCACAAACACGAGAGAGCCAGGCAGGCTTTAGACCAGGAAGAGGGTGTATTGATCATATCTTCACCCTCCGACAGATTCTAGAACATAGGCATTCCTACCGGCGTCCAACAGTCATTATATTTCTTGACCTAAAAGCAGCATTCGACTCTGTCGATCGAGAAGTTCTCTGGAGATGCTTGGCTGTTAAGGGAATTCCGAGAAAATATATTGCACTGATTAAGGCACTCTACTCGTACTCATACAGCCAGGTGAGGGCTTACGGCGAGCTGTCATCTGAACTGGTGACGACCAGTGGTGTCCGTCAAGGATGCCCATTATCCCCTTTTCTATTCAACTTCATCATAGATGTGTTAATGGACTTAACCCTAAGTGACTTCAGCGACTCAGGGATTGACTTGCTACCGGGTAATAATCTCGTTGACTTGGAATATGCAGACGATATAGTCCTTCTAGGCGAAGACGCTGACGAAATGCAGAGTCTTCTAAACACCTTGAGCTGCAATCTACGAATGTTTGGCATGCGATTCGCTCCCGCCAAATGCAAGATGATGTTACAGGACTGGACTACATCGACACCTAGTTTAAAAATAGGAAGTGAAGTGGTAGAGCACGTTGACCGCTTCACTTATTTGGGAAGTACCATCAGCCCCAACGGGTTGATCTCTGACGAAATCTCAGCACGAATACAGAGGGCTAGTTTCGCATTTGCCAGTTTACGCCGACTCTGGCGTAGACGAGATGTTCGACTATCGACCAAAGGGCGGGTGTACTGCTCATCAGTCCGCTCCGTCCTCCTTTATGGTTGTGAGACCTGGCCACTGAGAGTGGAAGACATGAAAAGACTAGCTGTCTTTGATCATAGGTGCCTGAGCTCTATTTCCCGTGTAAAGTGGCATAATAAGGTGAGCAACATTGAGGTTAGGCGTCGAGTTCTAGGTAAACAGGGGAAATCAATCGACGAAGTCGTGAAGTTACATCGACTGGGATGGTTAGGACATGTGTTACGTATGCCTAGTCATCGCCTCCCTCGACGAGCAATGTTAGCGGATATAGGGTCAGGCTGGAAAAAAGCTAGCGGCGGTCAAACAAAAACATGGCCTCACAGTCAATGGAATCCACAACAGTTGGTCTAAGCCACGTAGGAAGGTGTAGACTTCCAGGCTGGGGTCCTCGGGACGGTAAAAATCTATGGTTGGAAACAATTGGTGACATGGCTCAAAATCGTTCTCAATGGCGCAGATGCATCCACTCCTTGTGACTTATGATCTCCAATGAAACTGTTTTGTTCTTCGTTATTACTCCTTTGTCTCACACCTCTGCTCACTGTTTCTATTATGCTTTTCTTGTACTTTCTTCTCTTGCTTCGCGTGCTACACGGAGTGTGGCGACTTGAACTTCCGCACATTTGTGCAAAGTTCTATGTCGAAAACAGACAGACAGACAGACAAAAGATCTTTCTTATTTTGGTAGTCATACGTTTTGTTTATGTATGTTTACTTATTATGGCCTATATAAAATCATGTAGTGTTTGCATTTCAGGTGGCTTCACAGTCAGAAGTAGCTTTCGCGGCTCGAGCTCACTTGTTACTCGGTTGGGGTTGGTCCTTATTAGCTAGATCATGTTTTGTTGTTGATAAGAAAGGTGACTTACGGAATCGTGCAGTGAAAGAATATAGGACGTGAGTGTTATTTTTGTTATGTATTTTCCAAAACGTTCTCGTCATATATATATAAATACATATATATATATATATATATATATATATATATATATATATATATATATATATATATATATATATATATATATATATATATATATATATATAATATATATATACAGTATATTACCTGTGAAGAGTAAAATCTAGTGTACGCACTGAAGTGTTTGATGTTTTTCATATCTGTGCTTTTCGAGTGGAACGTAGTGCTTCAAGTTTTGAGCTACTTAGTTTCAGTAACGCTTGTGGTTTTGCGGTGTTTGATTGTTAGCCTTCCTACTTTTGTGGGCTTACAACTGATTAGCGTATAAGACGAGGCATAGGAGTGCATTGGCCGAGAATCTAACCCGGACGACTTGCGCAGCTGCCATGCATTCTACCTCTGAACCACATACGTGCACGAAGTGTTCGATAGTTGGATGTTTATAAGCAGCTACAAGCTTGAATCCAACTAAATCTGCTAAAGTGTTAAGTTTCTTTCGACTTTATTGATTCTAATCTGTAATTTGTCATGAACCAATATCAACCAAAAGATCATTGAAAATTAAGGGGGACCGAATAACTCTTAGTGACTCTTTAAAAGTATAAATTTAACCAGCCGAACTAATGATTTTCAGATTATACAATAAGTACGTTGCAGTACAATACAAATAGGAATCTAGTGACCTATCTTTTCTCAGTTACTGTGAATTCCTATTATCACTAACTCTTACGCGATACATTTACCTACTAATCTTCTAAACAAACATGTATTTGATTGGGGATTTTAATAATCGGTGAAAACACAAAACTTTCTATGGGACTCAGCTAGCACTGCTTATGGTAGTCCTGGTAACACTATCCAGTTGTCTAGACTAGAAGTAGGTGAGGCGGTATTTGGAACCGGGGCCCATCGGACTTCTGTAACTGTCCATGAAGAAAAATAACTATACTTCCCATCAACAAAGCAAAACAATAATAAAAATCCTTTTAATATGATAAACCTTGGCAACAGTAGAACTTGGACGTTTTGGTTGAATACAATTCATATTAATTTATCCAACAGACGTAGCACATCGTTACCAGATGATGTCTCGTGCTCATATTGTTGCTCATAATAAAAGGAAAGAGATTACGCAACTTTTGAAACCTACTTTTATGGTTCTATAGTACATTATGCTTCCACTTCTACTGATAGTGAATCTAGCTAAGTAATTGCTTTGAGAGTTAAATCATTCCCGCTGTATATACTACATGCTTTTACGATGGACAAAGTTTCACTAATCAGTCTCTCTTTCCATTCCTCTCGAATCCACTCTAATGAAGCTTCTGGAGTGGTATGCTTAACATGTGTTCCACACACTGTCCGTTTCATTAAAGCACACACAGCGGTGTTGCCAACGGATACAAGCAATCATATAAAGGTAATCATGATCAAACACGTAAAGCCGATAAAGATTTTCAACACGGAAACACAAGGTTTCATAGGTGTGGAATAAGACTGGTAACACCGAAAGGTTGTAAACCCGAATTTTGACTGCGAGCTTAATATCAAAATGGTATGTAAGGGGGCACACTTAGGTGCCAGCTGCTATGGCTTTCCCTACAGGATGGAATTTTCACTCCTCACACACACTCACTTAACTACCTAGATACATGGACTTTTAACCACCCTAACCTATAAAAGTGATCAGTGTAAGCACAGGCTACCACAAATCTAACATCAGTACTTGCTATTGTACCTTATTACTCGTTGTAACACTCAATCTTCTATATTCTTAGACAATGTAGTTCCTTCTGTGATTATAATCTCGACACCATCTATAAAATGAGCCGTATTAGGTGACTGGGAGGGATGTCGTTTATAGCACTTGAATTCTAAGAGTTCATTCCGGGCTTTCTCTTTGTTAAATAAGTTAATGTTAATATTTATTGGAGCACTGTGATTTAGGATGAAGGATGCTGACACAAAAGGGGCCAGCTTAACTGCTTCCCAGTATTATTCTACGTACCATCAGTTTCATTGATTCAGTGTTTTTTTCTGCTGTTAAGGTGTTTGGAATCGTACTGTAAACAACTGTTTAACAACTCAAAACAGTATATTCAAGTGTTGGTTTGCAGTAATTTGATTGGTTACAGGATTTCATCATGAGCTGACATTGGTTAAAAAACCTGAGAGTACTGGATAGCTGTTTCGTCCTAGTTTGGGACTCTTCATCAGTACGCACCCACCGTAAGTGGGCGAATCCAGGACCTTCTGGTAACAAGGCGAGCTCGTGTACCCCTAAGCCATTGGGACCCGATCCAATGACCAGCCCGTGAATTCTAAATTCTGCCAATTCACGACATAGCGCGACCCCTAGCCAATGTCTTCGGCGAGTATTTGTCCTCACACCCGACCTGTTGCACTCTACTGGTCACCACTACAGTATAAATAGACTAAGATTCATGACAATAATAAGCAGTTATCAAAGATAGTATAAGCATAAACTCGTGTTACATAATTTAATGTTGGTTTTTTAAACACGTCATTTAGCCCCACACAAAGCTGTTTTTCAGTTACTCATGTTAATTCGAAAGAGTTTATTTGTTCAGAATTTAACAGATACGACTAGCCTTAAAAATAGTTATGCGATGAAATCCAGAATTTGTGTATAAAAACTTTTTATTAGGTAGTCTGAAATTTTAAAACTTTTGTAACTTACTTCCCACTGGTGATAAGATTATATATGATTCAGTACAACATATATTAAGCCACAGAGCAAGCTATGCTTAATTCCGTTATTGAATAAAACACATCTTATTGTCAATAAAGCCAATTACAAATTAAATACACCCTATACTCTATATATTGTTGTATTATTTTTGCTCATTTCGTAGTGCTATCCAACTAGACCCAGATGATTATCTAGCCTGGTATCATTTAGGTGTTGAATTGGCTACACAACGTCATATTGATGAAGCTTTATCTGTTTGTCAACAGAGTTTACAATTAATGCCAATACATTCGAATACATTGTGTCTATTAGCCTTATTACATACAACTGGGGGGAAACGTATGGATCAGGCGTCAAAAGCATTATATGTTGGCTTAAGTGATAGATCAAATGATTTCAATTTATTATTTTTACTAGCCAAAGTAGAAGAAGCTAGAATTAATCCAAAGGCAGGTTTAAAAATTTATCGTCAGTTATTAACAGTATGGCGAGATACATTTTCAATAAGCAATAATCCAAAGTAAGTGTTGTACATGTGTTGTATTTCATTATATTTTTGTACACGCTTTATAAATAATTTCTATCCCTATTTATTCACAATACGGTTATTTGTCCACTACATACTTTAGTCACGCCATCAGCAAAATTTGAAAAATATTGGTAGAGACGTTATAGTTAACGATGTTCTCTAAGCTTTGATTATGAATTTTGCATATGCATATATATATCGATTCAGACCCGAATTCAGGGTCATAAAGGTTAACATGTAACAAGCAAATCGCTCATATTTATAAGTCAATCACAGAGTTAGCAATTTTTCTACGTAAATGTTTACACACCTTTAGTATACTTCGCTTTTGCACGTTACACTGATCAAAATACTAGATCTGGTGACGCCAAATATCAGAGCTTAGAGAACACCAAAAAGCAGTTATCCCAAACCACTGAATTCTGGTCGAAAAGATAAATAGTAGCATACAGTGAGCTCTGAAAATCTTACTATCAGTCTTTCATGGCGGTGACGGATGCGAAAAATTGTAATGATTTTTTAAATGCTTATAGTTGCATACATCATACTAAGTAAATACTTGATAACGAAAACATAGACTCTGCTATGCGATATATCTAACTAAAAAACGCTATCATCCCGGTGCTTCAGTAATCGTTAGATATAATAACTTCGATATCATTTGAAGGCCTTGAATAGTAAATGGAGCAAATACTAATCACGACTTTCGTTGGCATGATACAATGCATTTTTCTGAAGCATTAATTTGAACTGTCGACTTTTAACCGATAACTTACTCTTTCGAGTCCAATCAACTTCAATCGAGAGACCAAGTGGCGTTGTCCGTCCTGCCACAATCACTAACAGATTAATGTACGGTGTTCCACAGAAGTGGATCGTTTAAGCTATAGCATAGGGAGGAAAGTGGAACTAGAATGGAATGAAATCAGACGACATAAATTTGATTGCAAGAGGAAATAATTGGTTTTTACGAGTTGATCACGGATTGATATCAGTTAGAGAACCATTGAAAACCAAGGAGTACTGGACAGCTGTTTCATCCTAGTTTGAGAATCATCGTCAGTACGCACCCATTGGGATTGGGGTTCGAACTCAGGACCTTCCGGTTACAAGATAAGCTTGTATACCACTCAGCCGCCGGAACCCGATTCAATGGAACATGAATTCTAACTTCTACCAATTCGTGATTTAGTGGGACCCCAACCAATGTCGTCGGTGGGACATCCATCCTCAAACTTGACGTGTGGATGGACCTCACTGGGTGTGTACTGCTGATAATTCCCAAACTAGGATGAAACAGTTGTCCATTACTCCCTGGTTTTCAATGTTTCTCTAACTGATATCAATCCCGACCGAAAGCTGCTACCTTGACGTGGTGGTCGGGCTTGAACACCGCAATTATCTATTCAAGCTATACTGGCTGAGACTTATGTCTCTTGAGGTCCTACCATGCCAGGCAAGTTGTTTGGATAGCTGTTAAACACAAAGCAGCTACCCAATCCAACATCATGATAAATACAAAATCACAAAATTTCATGCCGGATCGGCCGTGGCCCGGATTAACAACGACCGCGCTTCCTGCTGCCGTGTCACAGGGCGGGAGTGATAAGTATGCTACTGAGGCACACAAAACAACAAAGAACGAACAAAAACAGGCCGCGTGTGACCGGCCTCAAGCAGTTGTCCCCTGGGCTCTGCGGTCACGCAACCAACTTCCACGGTGTGGGCAGCCGGGAAGTAACAATCGCCCTCACAATCCGAAACGCACGCGAAACCTCTCTATTACTCACTCATCTTTGTCTTCATCTCTATCATCTTGCCTTCCTTCCACTGATGCAACTCCTCGACTTGATAGCTCTTCACTTCCTCTCCACTCTGCGTCCACTAAAAACGATGGAAGCCAAAAAACCACCACCGACAGCCTCCTAAAGCCACGCCACCAATTTCATATAGGAGCATTTAATGTTAGGACACTTTGCCAAATAGGACAACAAGCATCACTAGCCAAGACCCTGGCATCCCGAGCCATTGATGTATGCTGTGTTTCAGAAACACGCATACAAGACCCAAGTGTGGTTATTCACCTAACCCCACCTGGCCAACAGGTTGAATCTGCAAAATTCACCTTGAGGGTGTCAGGAGATGCCACAGCTAGTTCACGAGGATTAGCTGGCGTAGGGATAGCTTTGAGTACTAGGGCAGAAAAGACATTGCTTGACTGGATCCCGGTAGATAGCCGAATGTGTGCTGTCCGTCTGAACGGGTCAGTAAAAGGAGAAAGGACTGCACTACTCGCCGATGCCTTTTCGTAATCTCCGCCTACGCCCCCACTGACTGCAGTTCAGATGAAACGAAGGATGAGTTCTACCAAAAGCTGTCTAGTTTGCTGCGAAAGGCTAAACGCTCAGACATAGTCGTTCTAGCTGGTGACTTTAACGCTCAAGTAGGGAAATTGTGTCAATCTGAGAAGGATGTCGGTGGCACCTATGGAGTTCCGTGCCAGCGAACCGACAACGGTGACCGTCTCCTACAGTTCTGTTCTGATAATCATTTGTTTCTTGTAAGCACTAACTTCAAACACAAGGAGAGACACTGTTTGACTTGGAGACCCCCTTCATCAAACCAACGCTGGACACAAATAGACCACATAGCAATAAGCTATCGTTGGCGTGGGTCGGTAGGAGATTGTCGCTCCTTCTGGAACACGTGTGTAGATACCGACCATGCACTGGTCCGCGCTCGGGTGTGCTTACGACTGAACGGACGTAGGAAACAGCTGGCGGTAAAACCATCACGTCCCCAGCTCGATCAGGAAACTAAATCCGCATGTGAGGAAGAACTAGCTAAACACATATCTGTGTTCGACAGCTGTGCTCACCCTGAAGAAGCTTGGAAAAATATCCAGGCAGCCATAGATACAGCTGTAAAAGCTGTGAATAAGGTAAACCCAAAGGTGAGTAAAAGCCACTGGATCTCCACCGCCTCATCCCGATATACAAGAAGGGAGACAAGTCTTCCTGTGATAATCACAGAGGGATTAGCTTGACTAATATAGTATCTAAAGTCTTAGGCTCAATAATCATGCGTAGACTAAGTGGTGCTCGGGAGGCACAAACACGAGAGAGCCAGGCAGGCTTTAGACCAGGAAGAGGGTGTATTGATCATATCTTCACCCTCTGACAGATTCTAGAACATACGCATTCCTACCGGCGTCCAACAGTCATTATATTTCTTGACCTAAAAGCAGCATTCGACTCTGTCGACCGAGAAGTTCTCTGGAGATGCTTGGCTGTAAAGGGAATCCCGAGAAAATATATTGCACTGATTAAGGCACTCTACTCGTACTCATACAGCCAGGTGAGGGCTTACGGCGAGTTGTCATCTGAACTGGTGACGACTAGTGGTGTCCATCAAGGATGCCCATTATCCCCTTTTCTATTCAACTTCATCATAGATGTGTTAATGCACTTAACCCTAAGTGACTTCAGCGACTCAGGGATTGACTTGCTACCGGGTAATAATCTCGTTGACTTGGAATATGCAGACGATATAGTCCTTCTAGGCGACGACGCTGACAAATTCCGGCAGAGTCTTCTAAACACCTTGAGCTGCAATCTACGAATGTTTGGAATGCGATTAGCTCACGCCAAATGTAAGATGATGTTACGCGACTGGACCACACTGACTCCTAGCTTAGAAATAGGGAGTGAAGTGGTAGAGCTCGTTGACCGCTTCACTTATTTGGGAAGTACCATCAGCCAACGCCAACGGGTTGGTCTCTGACGAAATCTCAGCACGGATACAGAGGGCTAGTTTCGCATTTGCCAGTTTACGCCGACTCTGGCGTAGACGAGATGTTCGACTATCGACCAAAGGGCGGGTGTACTGCTCATCAGTCCGCTCCGTCCTCCTTTATGGTTGTGAGACCTGGCCACTGAGAGTGGAAGACATGAAAAGACTAGCTGTCTTTGATCATAGGTGCCTGAGCTCTATTTCCCGTGTAAAGTGGCATAATAAGGTGAGCAACATTGAGGTTAGGCGTCGAGTTCTAGGTAAACAGGGGAAATCAATCGACGATGTCGTGAAGTTACATCGACTGAGATGGTTAGGACATGTGTTACGTATGCACGCCTAGTCATCGGCTCCCTCGACGAGCAATGTTAGCGGATATAGGGTCAGGCTGGAAAAAAGCTAGCGGCGGTCAAACAAAAACATGGCCTCACCAGTCAATGAAATCCACAACAGTTGGTCTAAGCCACGTAGGAAGGTGTAGACTTCCAGGCTGGGGTCCTCGGGACGGTAAAAATCTATGGTTGGAAACAATTGGTGACATGGCTCAAAATCGTTCTCAGTGGCTAGCGCAGATGCATCCACTCCTTGTGACTTATGATCTCTAATGAAACTGTTTTGTTTTTCGTTATTACTCCTTTGTCTCACACCTCTGCTCACTGTTTCTATTATGCTTTTCTTGTACTTTCTTCTCTTGCTTCGCGTGCTACACGGAGTGTGGCGACTTGAACTTCCGCACATTTGTGCAAAGTTCTACGTCGAAAACAGACAGACAGACAACTGATATCAATCCGTGATCAAACTCTTAGTAACAAATCTAATCCTCATAAATCAATCGTAGAAAATAATTATTTGAAAATTTGGGATGTTTGGGATCGTAAATGGAACACATTTGCGTCGTGATGAACAATTTTATTTAACGTTATAAATAACATCAATCATTTTGTCATTCATAACCCCAGCGACCAAATTACCCTCCTTAATTAACACTAATTTTAATCTCAAAATAATCACACGCATCTAAAATCCGGTGATTTTTTAAAGTACTTACTTTTAATGACTGTATGTGTGACAGTTTCCATGATATAGGTGCGTCTCAATGCTCATTGAATGAATATGCAAATGTTTATCGATTAACAACACTTCATTCACATAATGTATGACTATTGCAAAAAGGTGAACAAATAATGACAAACTGTAATCCACAATATTATTGTTCGATAACTATTAAGTCGATTATAGTGTTTTCTGTTGCGAATCGATTAAATTAGGAAATTGGTAATAATAATATTGTCAGAAAAATGGGTTCAATAGTGACAAGTTTTCTGCAGTTTTATTTTGAGAGGGAATGTGTTGTTTTTTTTTAAATAAAACTGATTAGCATATTCAGGGTTTTTAGAAATTTAGTTAGTAAGTTAGATGACGCAATATAATTGACTAAAATGTTACAACTTAGGTCAGGGTAGCAACAGAGGTAATTACAGGTAGAGACTAAGTAGAGGTGAGGTAGAGAACATTGCCATTTAAATTAGAACTAAAATTGAGCAAATAAGTTGGATGACGTAACATAAATGACTAGAAATTGAGTGTTGGTCAAGTCAGTAACAGTAGTAGTGAGGTGTAGAAATTAAATCGGGTGTGTTAGAGAACAAGAAAGTTGAAAATGTAAAATATTACAGTTGAGAAGACAAAGTAATACTAATTAAGGCAGACAAAAAAAACTAGGTAGAATTCACTTGTCGGGTAATAAGATAGATTGTGTTCACTTCAAGTGTAGTGATTGAACGAACTTCTTCTGTATGCAGAGTTCAGGGCTTAGCAAGTGAATTGCCATTGCTTCTGCAGTTTGAAGAAGTCTGATTTGTACACCTTTAGGAAGACTACTTCTTACTCTGTAGACGACTTTGAAGTTTGTTTGGGGTGTAGCTTGGTGTTTGGATTCTATCAGATGTTCTAAGATAGAGCTGCGGGGCGTCGATTTCCTCCTTTGTAAAACCATGTTCTTAAGTGTTCGGTGATACGTTCTTACTTACGTTCAATCTTACTTTAGTTGCTGTCTGATTGACCTTGTTTGTATATTAGATCATTCTTGTGTTACCTGATCAATTATCTAAACTTGACAAACCTCATGTACACACACACACACACACAAATAATTATATATAAATGCGTTTGTACAGCTATGTGAATGAATTCGCCGAAAAGTCTCTTCGCTGAACGCCTTCCCTTTTAGAGATTTCTCAAGTAACGATCTTTAATGGTCAGTTTTTTATAAATCAAAGGGAATTTTTAGGAATACTTTGTTCAAGTTCACGATTACCTGAATATTGAATTAGATTAAACCAATAGACATCATACTTGAAATTTGTAGTTGAATAAATATTAAGAGATGCGTTTAGATGATGAATAGATTAACAGTACTTCAGGCAAAACGATAATTGATATTGATGTTAATCTCCCTCTCCTTTGTTTTAGGATAATATTTGATAAAATTCGAAAAGCCGCTTTATCAGTCAATAACGAGCCGACTAGTTTAAATCCCAGTGATGATTCAGCACTGCCTACTTCATCCCCGTATTCACCATCTTTAGAATTAGACGACAACTTTTCAATATTAAATATAAATGAAGAAATTAATAATGGTAGTCTTAGTAACAATCATTTACAATCTGCACTGTCTGATATAGCAGTTGGTTGTGTTGGTCAAACCGGTGCATCGATTGCTCCAGTTCCAAAGCAATCACGTTCAACTAATCAAACTCAATCAATTGCTTTAAAAATACAAATTAAAATTTATCAAGGTCTAGGTATGATTTTTGCTTAATCACCTAAGCGGTGAATTGTTTTCATGTATCTCTTTAGGTATGTGTTCGTTTATTGTAATATGACATATGAATCTATACCTTTCAAAAAACACCGAATGAATAGTTATGATTAATCGTCCCAGTTATTTAATATGGATGCTTACACGCCCTATTGGTGATTAACTAGGTTAACTGGTATTTGGCTTTTATCGACAACGCATTTATTGTATAGACCATATAGTAAATTTGTCGTTTTCAAATAGACTAGTGTTAAAGACAGTATGATACAGTGGTGCCGAGTAGCATAGTTTATCTTTCTTTAGTCAGATTAGAGAGAGAACGTCATATATTGGTACCAAACGGATATTAATTTTGATATTCTAAGAATTTAGGTTTTTCCTCTCATTCCTTTGCGTCCCAAGTGGCTTCAAATTTTGAAGTTCCAGCAGCAGCGTTGTTTTTACGGAGTGGGGTAGCCAGTCTGGAGCCCAACTCTGCCTCTTTTCCGGGTGTATCATCGGCTGGTAAGCTAGATGAGGTTTAGGAGGGCATTGACCGGAACATCCTCCAAAATGAGTTAAAACGGCATGGAAATCAGTGGATGACTGAGAATCTGTTGATTCGTGACTAAATCTACCTTCAAACTCATTTTATTGTCTAATATTTTGTGTTGACTCCCACCGCTGAATTCACTTCTGCTGTGTATAGTGCAGTCATCAGATGAGAAACATTAGTGTTCAGCGTAAAAGGTTTTGTTAAAGAAGTAACAAATTAACATTGTTAAACTCCATAGTGTGAATTGGTTTGATTAAGTGCTGCGCCTCCCAAAAGACCACATTTTTGAATAAAACGAAATAGAAAAAATCTCGGATCGTATGAGGGAATATATTTTACTCACTTTAGATTGGTGATACAACCGTACTGGATAGTTGGTGAGATCAAATGATACAACTATACTTGAACATCTTGTATCATTTGTTTTTATGTGAAATTATAGCGCTGCTTTCCCCCACTGATTCAATGTCACCATTAACTTCAAGTTTATTTTTCTCTTTTATGTCATAACTTTTGAAAAACGACAAATTAAATTGAATCCATAGTAGTACGAATTAAGGTAGCTTTAGTTCACCAAGTTTTAAGAAAAGAAAATACATCTAAATTTCACTGTAAAACACTTCACTTCTTACTTTTAGCGCAATCCTATCTGGATAATGATCAATTGTTTGAAGCGAAGGAGGCTTTAGATGAAGTGATGAAAATTGGTGGCCTCGACAATCAAACATTATATCTGGTAGGTTCATTACTTTTACATAAATGCAAACTATTTTCTCATAAATCTAATTTTCCTTTATTTTGTTCCGTATACTTTGTAGGTATGTTTGTTTTCAACTCATATTTTTTTTTACATTTTTTTGAAATATTGTACTACATGATATGGAAATAGCATAACAGATATTATTATGACGGGATGATGATTTAAGGTAAAATATGAATATAAATTACGTTGGCAACAAAACCGGCAATTTCCAAGTTCTGCTATGAATCAGTGTTTTGTTTCAACTCCGAGCATCCTTCCACTACTTGAAAAATAGTAATAAGTAAGGATTTCTATTCTGATACTTGATATCATTTTATCTGAGATGTTTTTCCCATATTTAAAACCGTTCTGAAAAATATTATCAAAGTCAGTTCTTGCGGCTCGATAATATAGTTGACAAAGTTACGGCTTGGGACTTTTCAAAAACTACTAAAATATTTCGATGGTCGAGCGGAATTTCAATTATGTTTATTTCTGACAGACAGTTTACTAAGTTTGCCAGCCAATCTACTGTATTTATTTCAAATAAATCAGCGTAAAATTCTTCTGATGAAATTTATATTGTGCATTCTAATTTGAAAATATAACCGGTTATTTTGTTTCATTTGTGATAATATTTTAAAGCGTGGACGTTTAGCCGAAAAACGTGGACTTCTATGCATTGCACGCTCATTATACGAAAGTGTAATTGCATTAAAACCTGATCACTTAGAAGCATTGCTTTCCTTAGTAAGTGTATTGATACATTTATTCTACTTTTATCTGTAATTTGTTATGTAGATGGAAATATTGTGAATTTTGGCGTATATATATATATATATATATATATATATATATGACGAAGTGATACTAGTTGTGGTTTCATCTAACTTGACCTAGTATACGCCTCCAAAACACGGCACTATAACCAACTAAAAATGTCTTCTGTAAATAAAACAAATTTGATTGGTTGGTTGTGTAAAATCGAAATCTCTCAGAAAACTTAAATAAATGGATCGAAACTTTCCAGTAAAGCTTTCACGTCAGTATATGCATAGATCACTTCACAGCTAACAAAGGGGCTTTTCTATCCTAACAGTTTCTGTACCAGGCTGCATAGACTATACTGCTGCTGTCATGTCATTTGGGTAGTTTAAATAAGCTTTATATCCCCATGATTATTGACTGCACAATAATCAGTTAATGAGTGCTTCATCTACGAAGTATACCAGAAATCCCTGTGAAAAATCACATGCACCGTAAAGCCTAAACTTCCACAAATCACTAATGAGGTTAAAAATTATATCAGCAACTTGTTTAAGTAGTATTAAAGTACAATAGCGCTAAAAGAAAACTAGAAAATAGTCATAACCATAGATATCACAAAATAGTTTGAACTTAAATAATGGTAAAAGTTGGCCGAAAATTATTTTATGGTCAGAATTAATCTCACTTCATTTCGTTTACTCTACATTTTAAGTCACCTGATGTCTTATATAGGCTGCAAGCCATATATATATATATATATATATCCCTCTCAAGTACTCTATTAACGTATGTAAAGACAAAATATGAATTAGTCAATTACATTTTAAGATACTTACTTAGAAGATGAAGAACTGGATCTCTAAGTTATATCAGTCCATGATCATACTTGAAACAAATGAAATCCCTGCAAACAAACTCATGAGAAACTTAAATCGTTTCATTAAATTGTTTCTCTAGATGGTACTTTGGTGTGTAGATGTTTTGCCGACATTCCAGGAGTTATTATTTCAATCCCAGTCTTTGTAATTAACAAGCTAGGCAATGTGGAAACAAGCTCATGTTTTCTCTTTCATATCACCATTTCGAGTAATCCATGCGCGCTTCTCGCTGATTAATTTCATGTCTTAACTATTAGCTAGCTTACAATGTATCTAACATTATTTGAAGAGCTTAACCAGTGATATTGACTTACAAAGACTAGTGCTGATGTGTGCATACATTTAACGTCGTTTGATTTTATTCCCAATATTGGTTGAGTATAAGTTTTTGACTTTATAACAATAATAACCATTTGTCATTTCAACTGATTAAAAACGCCCATTAAAATTTTCAAAAGAATGGATACAGAACGAATGGTTCTCTTTTCGATAACTTCATCATCAAACTCGACATTTATATATATATATATATATATATATATATATATATATATATATATATATATATATATATATATATATATTATGGTGAATAAATGAATTAGTGTTATGAACAACATTAATGCTGTTTAAATAACATCAAATCAACAATATTGATAGATTACAGCTGAATCGCATCAACATAAAATAAGCTGAATGTGAGAAGAATTAGGACGGATAATATTACAAATTCATGAATATATAGTTTCTACTGAAGGCCAGGACAATAACAGGGACTGGACTTGCTTCTTTTGGATACAGAGCGCTGGTTGTTTGAGGCGAATCGCAATAGCCTCTGCTGTTTGGAGCCTGCGGTGCCTCGATGTTTTTGGCAGTTTATTTTGCACCCGGTGTAATATAGATTCATCCAGGCTGCCTTTGTGGCCTGTTTGCACCAGATGTTCCAATATCGAGTTGTTAATAGTTTTCACTACACCTTTACTTAGCCATGCTGGGAGATGTTCTCGAGCACGAAAAATCAAGATCCTAAAGCAACGGCCAATATAACTCGCTCCATAAGCGCAGTTGAATTGATAGATACAATTTGAAGTGGCCAGTCTAGGTACTTCATCTTTCAGTCGAGGAACCACCATCGGTCGTGTAGTTCGCCAGCATTAAAAGTTCTTTGAACTGATTTTCTTAATTTCTTCGCAATTATCTCGCTTGGTATATCGCCCATGTATTGTAGTCGTATACAAAGAGGCCTCTTTCTTACAAATAGTGAGTGGTCCTTTTCCGTTTTCTTTGTCATGTGTTTGTTTTATTTTACTATTTCAGGCAAATCTTTTACACACAAATAATCAAACAACTTTAGCGGAACGTGTAGCACGAGATGCTATGAATGTGGATCCAACTAATTTTCGTGTATGGCGTCTACTTGCTGATATATTAAGTTCACCGAATACACCTGAACCAGCCTCTGAAGCTGTTGTAACACGTGCATTGTTAACAGCTATTGAACTTGAACAAACGGAACCAATTGAACCATTCTATCACTTACCACTTGGTGTACGTTGTAACTGAATGTGATATTTTTTTATGTTTTATTATTTTCCTTTTTCTATTTATCATTTGATTGTTGTAATTATTAATTATCATTAAACTATGGCACCAAATGATTCCCTGTAGCCTTAGCTAATAATAATATGAGTTGAATTATTTATAGATTACTCAAAGTTCTGTTTATTATTGAAATGCCTTCACGATTGCGTTTTATATTATATACGAAGAGAACCAGACCGGTGGGGGGAAGGGCCCAATTATTTATTGAGATGTTGTAATACAATGAACATTAGCAAAAGTAAAAACCCTTGCCGTTTATAATGCAAAATGAAAAAGTACAAAAGATACAGTAGCGGTCACATGACAATAAAACGGACAACCTGGAAAGTTTGTAACGAATCGGGCACTACAAATCTGTATTTCATTAACTGTGGAATCCTTCAAAAGCAATACCACGCAATATCGAATTTCTTACTTTCGCGTATATTTTAAGAAGTTTTAGTTTATTTACAGATGCGTTTTTTGATATTGAATTACAGAATCAATTCTGGGTATGGAAGCATTCAAACCAGTCTAGCAATTAAAAACACCTCAGTTAACCTGTTTTGCAGATTGCCCTTTATGCATTATAACACTTCCCATACATGATGAAGTATATGGTGAATGGACTACTAAGTAATATCCTACGTTCTGAATATTTTTTCGATTTTCCATGAAACTGACTTTTGGATTTATCCTCATACTTTAGCTTATCTTTGTGCATCGCGAATAGATTTTCAATAACTGATATTATTTGTTAGTGGCTTCCTGTTAGTATGTCTCAGCCAAACTGATCGGCATCATTTCAGCTTATAGATTTCTTGGTTTCCATAAGTAGTGCACTTTTACTTTGACTGAATAATTTCGTCGGCCATCAAACATCTAACTTTTTAGGAAGGAACAACAGAATAAGAACAAAAAGAATCCTGATGTGGTCATTGCTGTTTTTGGTTTTCATCGTTATCTAATATTGCCTCAAACTTTTCAGTAACATCATCTCATAGAGCAAATCTGTATGTCCTCCCATTATTAAGACAAGACTGTATTGTATAAACGCAACTTTGCACATTCAGAAAAAGAGACACTGTCTTGAAAATGTCAGATCAACGTTTCTTATATATATATATATATATATATATATATATGCATAAGAAACGGTGCGCATATTTATCCGTGAGACATGGTTACATTTTCGAAAATGAAAACTGTCATGCATATAAACAAATGTATTTCAACTAGCAAATATTGTTTAAAAATTAAAAACCAACTTTGCCAAGTTTCTCGTCAGTTTTAGGGTCTGCTGTGAGTCTTTGGACTTGTACTATACCTGCATTGGCCTGATCTTGTAATTTACGTAGTCTGTTTACATTTAAAAGTCTCAGAGCAATTGCAGCAGCTTTTACATTTGGATCGCTTACATCGAATCCAAGACACACATCGTCCAGTTTCAGCATATCTATCTACAAAGACAAAAAGAATTTCCATTATGTCGCTAAATATTTTTTTATTCTCTGCGTCTGAAGCCTTTAAATCGTTTTGACCATTTTGAAAAAATATATGTAGAGTGAGACTCAACCAACTACGGAGTATCTTCCTTTTTCAGACAGTCAAATTTTTTTAGCAGTGTGCATTTGGAGGTAGGTAATACCAGTCAGCCATTTAAACGCACTAGAGACAGGTTGTATAATAACAATGCCAAGCAAGACGCCTTCCGAAAAGAACGATGCTTTAATTATCACTCAGGAGTGGCAACTAGAACGTTGGAGGGGACACTTTAGGGAGCAATTCAGGTGGCCAATAGCCAAGCTGAATTTGTCCAGTTTCCAACACCTACTTGAATGAAATGTAGACATCGGTTTGCAAAAGCTGTCTCTAATCTGAAACAAGAAAAAACGGTGAAACTTGATAGTATGACTCCAATTTTGTTTAAGGATGTTAGTGATGAACCGTTGTTTAGGTTAACTAAGATATGAGATAATGTCTGCAAATCAGACAGTCACGTTGGATGGGTGTAAATCGTTGATTATTCCAGTTTATAAGAAGAGAGGCAAGTCCTCCCTTGATAATTATTGGTGATTGGCGTGACTATTACAGTACCTAAAGTTCTAGGTTCAATAACTGTGTGAAGACCGAACAGACCTCGAGAGAATAAAACCAGTGTTAGGTCAGGAAGTGTATTGATTATGTCTTCACCCTTCGACAGACTTTGGGACACAGTCATATTTACCAACATCTAATAGTTGTCAGATTTCTTGGTCTGAAAGTGACTTCTGACCTCGTCGAACAAGAGGTACTGTGGCGATCGAGTGCTGAGAAAGTATATCACACTAATCGAGCTACTCTACTTAAACTTACTCAAACGTATGACAGCACATAGAGAGTTGTCATCTGAAGTGACGACAGTTAGGGACGCCTAGTGTCTCCATTCATTTAATTTTACCATAGGTGTACTTAATGGATGCGACCCCAATGGACTCAGGAAATGACTTTTCACAATGGAACAGTTTCGTCGATTTAGAATATGCAGATGTTATAGTCTTCCTAGGTGAGGACACTGAGAAAATGGAGTCTCCTGTGAGCACCTACCTTGGGTAGAAATCTTGGTATTTCCAGCATGCGATTCGCTTCTGTCAAACGCAAGTAAGATGATGCCGTAGGACTGGTTTGTACCGACTCCTAGTTCGGAGATAGGGAGTGAAGTGGTTGAGCATTTCGATCACTTGCCTTATTTGAGAACTTTCAATAGCCCTAACGGACTGATTGCTGGCGAAGTCATAGCACGAATACAAAATGCTCATATGGCACTTACCAGCCTACATCATTTCCGGCGTAGACGTGATATTCACTTATCCGTAAAAGAGCGTATGTCCTGCGCCTCAGTTCATTAAGAGCGGTTGTGGGAAGCGATCGTTGTAAGTGGAAAATATGAAGAAGCTAGTTGTCTTTGACGATAAGTTCTTACGTCCTATCTTCCGTGTTAAGCAATATAATATGGTGAGTACTATTGAGGTTGAGTGTAAAGTAGTATTAGGTAAAAAGGTCAAGTCAATAGGTGCTGTTAAGCTACATCGACTGAAATGTCTATGACACGTGTTATCCATGGTAAGTTATCGCCTTCCTCGTCGAGCAAGGTTAGCTGACATGCAATTAGGTTGGAGTTGGTGGTAGTCAAGTCAAAACCAGGTATCAATTTATGAAGTCTTTGACATTTAGTTTAAGCCACTTACGGAGATGCAGGCTGTCTGGTTGAGGTCCTAGGGATGCTAAGAACCAACGGCTGAAAAGACTATTGGTGATATGGCTAGAAATTGTTCTCAGTGGAGTATATGAATTCACTCTCTATGAATTCCTCGATCCATCGAATTCTTCAGCTAATTATTCTTCCTCCCTAACACATCCAATCATTATAGTTCCATTGGAATTTTGATTTCTCGCTACTGTTTTATGCTGTATGCTGCGGCAATTCCATGTGCTGAACTTCTGCACAAAGTCCTGTGTTGAAAACTCAGTGTACATGGCATAGCATGTAAATGAAAAAACCTCCTGCATACAGATTAAAGTTTCGACTACGACAACATTTGTTTCCTTAATTCTCCTGTAAATGTATTAATGATGTCGAACTAAAGACATACAATCAGTTTTTCTAATCAATTTAATATAATCACCATCAAAGTATTTCTAAAAAACTGACCTTGCATGTACCGTAATCTTTGATAGCATTATTTAATGTATTCACCTCAAGCTTCTGTTCGATAACTAGACAAACAGCCTTAATTAATTAGAATATTACGTTTTGCATACCTACCTTGAATAATGTTTTAATGTCTGAATGTATTGGAATCTGTAATAACTTGGCTGCTTTCAGAACATTTTCCTTGAATTCATTACTGTTAACTAAAGGTATTAAACATAAAACGTAATGCGAAATAGTAGTACCATCTATGCTACTAAAAGCATTAGTAGAAACTGTTATGTTAGCATTCTCAGGTGTATTGTTCTGTACAGTACTTTCAGCTGTATAAAATATAGAGAATAACGCAAAAATTAAGTTACGTGATTTGGATTCTAAAAACAACGCCTTGCTGATAAGCCAATCCAACATAGCCCAAGAGCTTGATTCATTAAAAGGGCATTTTATAGTCTGAAGATACTAAGAAATTCTGTTTTAAAAAAAAAGATATACAGACAAACCTTATTAAGATAATTTATCCATTCTGGGGATTGTATATCACGTAGTCTTTTATCCGCAGGGAAAACTCTGATTAGTCTATCTTCAAGCCAAACAACTACGTTTCTCACATTCGCTATATCTTAATTAACTTAATTAGATAATTAAATTCAACAGTATATACCTGAAATATCGAAAGTATCATAGGCTGGATAATTGATAGCATGAAGTTTGAAACGTAAACGTTCATTCGCCAACGTTGTAGTCATCTTGAGAGGGATAATTACAGACACCTGTAAAATTGAAAACCCGACAATTGAATTTAAATTAAACCAGTTTGAGATGCCATAAACCACAGAGTTTGTTGCAGTAAATAACGAATACTGAACACAAACATAAAAAAGTACAACTCTTAACAGTTGTTGAAAGGTTTCATAGCTGAGATAATTACTTGTGGACCACAACTACTGCCATTCCTACAAAATATCTCATTATTTAATGTTTCCTACCTCTCAACTTGATGTCCATAAAAACAATGAGTGTGATAACTTAAAATCGGTTCAGGTAATCCCTACAAGTCAACTGTTAGAAGGAATGGACAATTACTAACGCAAAAAAATGTAGAAGTTTCTGTTCACTTGACAGCTAAAGTATACTCAACCTAGCCGTGTAATTAGGTGCACTAGCAGTTGTTATATTTGCATTAAGAATGGTGGTACTAATACTTCCATTCTGGAAAGTTCATTCCTTAAAATCACAGGACGATTAACTGAAAATATAAGAATGAAATTTGCAAAAGGTACGGACAGAGACGACTAACAAGAAATTGGTGCAACTGAATATCATTTCAATTTGCTGAACTTCAAATTATGTTTCCCAGTAGGATGAGAAGAAAAATGACATTAAATACAACGAAGACAAGAACGTGAGACCAAAAATGTAAGAAAATAAGACATTAATGATAATGACTTTTGATCAGGTCTGATAGCATAATAATCTACTGACCAGAGGTTATTCGCAAATACAAATTTGACCTATATATCTTGAATCAAGGAATACTGGTTGCATGAAGTTTTTATCCGTATCTCCAGACTTTATGGATATCAAATTTGATCTTATAGAGGCACTTCATTTTCATAAAAGTTAAGAAAAATGCGTTCAGGAACAAATATTTGTGAATTCAGACCACACTTTCAGAATTTTTAAAAGGAATAAAGTGAGCCCAATAAAATTAACTTTTTAGTTTTTATTATGAAGACGTATGCTTAAACAGAGCGTCTGTGGCATAGCGGTTAGGACGCTCGCCGACCATGCACATGGTCCGGGGTTCGATCCCCGGACACCGACGCACTCCTTTACCTCGCTAAGCCACAAAAAATAATGCTGGTAAAGAGGAAAGGTTGGGCATGAGGCTAGCAACCCCATCCTGTAAAATAAACACTGCTACAGAAACTTCAAGCCTGTAGCTTGAAGCCCTATGTTCCACTGGGGAACGTGAAGGGAAAAACATGGTCACAACGTGATTATAAGATGGAACCAGCAACCTCCTCTGACAATAGTCGTAGGCTGTTCCAGCTCATCCGAGTCACCATAAGCGAGAAGCATGCTGTCAGTTGAACGGTTTGTGGGACAGGCAGTATGCTAATTACCAACCTGAAATGCTGGACAGAAAACTCTGAGAAGCAGAAAAAAATACCTAGACACAAAACCTTTCAAAAACCGGATGACTCAATAATCGATAAATAAAAGTGATGTAGCCGATAAGATATACATATACCTATAAAAATTAAATAGCATCTAAAACACTACCTAGTAAAGAACACCGTTAGATTCATTATATCTGAAACTTGACGAAATGAAATTACATTGTCACAGTTTCCGAACTCTGTTCTTACGCTGACACAACACAATATTTCACTGGATCAGCGTAGAACTCAGCAAAGAAATGCACCGGTTTATGTTCCGAAATATGGATGCAACACAGACAGATTAAATATATCTGCACCATCGTGAATGCTTGTGAATCATCTTAAGAGAAATCACCAATCGTGAATTAATAACATCGCCAGGACATCATCTAGAAAATCTGCACCTTCCAACATGATTAGTAGTCATTGTTTTTATGAGTTTACTCATTTCAATTTGGGTACGTCTTACTCTTTTGTGACCTAATCCTTTATCTACAACTGCAATTCAGGAAGAGTGGATTGCTAAGGGTAACATGTCTTCAAGATAATATACATATATATATATATATATATATATATATATATATATATATATATATATATATGAAGTTTCATCACCTTGTCGATCGGCTCACCTTTCTTACTTAACACGCTACTCACTATATTGCTCCTTTGGCAATGGTAGAATGATAAGACCCCAGTTTCCATCATATATCCTTCTTCTGGCGGTCGCACTTCACAACTGCATATTAGGATGCAATAGGATGTTGCACGGTTAACGAGTCCCATGACAGGCAGTCAGATATTTCTCCAGTGTCACTGATGTCACCGTCCCTTTTGTATCCGTGTTATGAATTTATCAACAACCCATTAAGATAGATGATACCTCCTGAATAAGTGTAGTGATCAACAAATTCAAACTTTTAAACCTCTGTTGTTAAACAAAGGTTTGGTGCGGATCCACCCTATATCATCTTAAATTTCACGGTGGGCAAACCGCATCCCAAGCATATTCAGACTTTTGTTCAAAGTGCTCAAATAACTGTATAGTTTTGCAATTAGAAGTGCTCTCTGAGCTGGTTTGGTTAGTTTGCCCAGCTTTCGTCGTTAGGTGCCGGTGTCTTTGTACAAATAGACAGGGTTTGCATACTCTACACTAACGAGATCTTCAACCAGTAACTTATCAACTACAGAAGAACAAAAGCAGAATAACGTCCACTAGTAAGTTTTGACCGACATAATACCCTTACTCAGCACTTCCTTCACAGAAGAATAATGCTAAATACCTCTCAGTCGAGGCAGTTCAACGTCTTCTCCAGGTCAATAGATAAAACGTGTCGGATGCCAGGTGTATTTTGAATCTGTAGAGTGGTGATTTCGTCAGCACATTACTTATGTTTAAGAACCGATTGCTTTTTTGCTTTCAATGTCACACCCCACTTAATACTCCAGGACTACGTATACTATTACGATATACGGTATGTCATTATTCTGAACCGCTATGAAGATACCACACGAGAAATTGTTTTCTTACAAGTTGGTATGCCATGAGATCACAAAACAGCCCTCTGAACCCCCACCGCCTCCGCCTTAATTAAGAATCTAGTTAATCTGGCAAATAATTCACCACCACATTGCTTAAAAGCTTCTGGATTTAAAAAATGTGAAGATTTCCAGTTTAGCATCGTTTTAAATACCGATTCTCAGCCAAAGTGGGAAGATGAGTAATAACAACTTTGTTTATATATATATGTATATATATATATATATATATATATATATATAAAACAAAGTTATAACATTTCTGAAGGATCGAGTATTACTCCCCGAAAGAGCACATTTTCATTCATTCTAATGTAATATATCTCGACACGGGTGGACAGAAGTCAACAATTTCAAATACTACTGTTGTGAACTATTAGAGGACTAAGGCAATCAAACAAAAAGAACTAAGACTGTAGTTCTTTTTTATTTTTATTCCGGAATAAAAAAACCACTGAACTATGTGGTTTGTGGTGACTGGCATAAATCATGCACGGAACTATGTGGGCAATTACCACTCTCGAAAATTCTATAGTATTTCTATAGTGATGCGATTGCAACGAAAAAACCTGGGACCAAACTAACCAGAAAAGTAACGCAACACTTGAAACGTATATAATTGAATTTATTCAATTAAATATTCAGATTCGTAGATCGAGAATACAAGGCTTGACGCCTGTGCTAATACTTTTCTAGTTAATTCATGGGCAAAGTTCAACAATAGTGTCCCTTCAGCCAGCCAATCATAGAAATGAGGAATTTTAGCACGAAAAATGACGTATGTTCACAAGAAAATGCATGAAAACACATTAAACGGATTATCTTCCTCTGATATCACTAAAAAATACGTCCCAGTTACGACGAAGAGTATCAGTTGCTAAGTTGGACTAGTTTCTGTATATGTATTCACCAAAGTGACTGAAGATTGGCTGTTTTGTGAATTGTTCATCTCTCTTCCATTGCTGTGTAGTACTCTCCAAAGCCCTCGGTTAAGTTACAATGGTTTCAGTAAGAGCATTGGCGACTACATACAAAGAAAATGAGGATAATAAAACAAGTTGAAATGAACGACAAACCTATTCCTAATCGAAACTCTAACCTTAATCCTGACCCTAACCCTAAATTTCACACTAGCCCTAACCTTAATCCTAACCCAAATGACAATCCTTATCCAGCCGTAAATCTAACCCTAATCCCAATTATGATCGTAATCCTAACCCCAATACTCGCCTCAACCCTAATTCTAACCCTAACGAGATGTTAATAGATTGTCCAAACAGTAATTAAAAGCATTATCTGGGTGAAACTTGCTCCTTATGTGATGAATAGTGTTGGTATTTCAGCTATGATAATGACAGGCACTGTTAACCAACGACTAGCGTACGTTCAAGGTCATTTGAGCGTTCGCACTCCTGGGACGCTATTCTTGCACTTCGCCAATTCATGTGCCTGTACGAACCCTTCTTGAGTGATTCATATGAGGTCGCTGATACCACTTCATCTTTGAGCAGGTTCCAGGAGTCTATTATTTACTATGGGGACCATTACTCCACAGTAATATAGTTTCTCCTTGGATTTTGAACTCCCCTGCTATGTCTCTAAAGTGTTCAGACCATTAAGGAAAAGAGAGACAATAGGTCAGTTCTGTGGCCATTATTTAAAATTTTAAGCATTGTAATTAAATCTCCTCTCCTCCTACGGTATGACAAGGAGAAGAAATTCAAACTGTCTTGTCTTTCTTCGTATGATAAATTATTCATGCCTTGGATCAAACGTGTTACCTTCCTAAGAACCCTTTCGACAATATGTGAATTCATTTTTAATTCGAGCACTGACTACTTACATAATAAATCTCTGTGTGGTAAGTCCAGCTGTCTCGAACTACTGCCAAAGCTTCAGGTGCTACTTTTGTAGCAGCATCTTCCTCACTCGTTCAGAGAAACAAGACTTGTTGGTCTACCACGTGATTGCCGTGAAGCCGATCATTCAGAAAGTACTAGGTAAAGTCGAAAACCTTTTCTTTTCCTTGCCTTATACTTTTTCAGTCTTATTCTTGCTCTTTTGGTTAGAAACTGTTGCTCTCTTAGACGTACATAGCATAATTTATAGTGATTGTTAATATGGTTGTCGAAAGCAGCCTTAAAAAAGCCACTAGAATACCGTACTCTGTAGTCACAAGGGCTTCAGCCAGGGAAGGAAAAAATCCAGGGATTTCAACCCCTTCCCGCATACCGATCCTAAAGACTCGTGTAGCTTTAGTCTGCCCTGATACAACGCCTGCATTGCCACAGTCTAGTACTGAAACGGCACAGGCAATACCAGAAGGACAGAATTCTACACCTGCATCAACTGTAGGCCAGTGTGTGAAACACATCAAGCCTAAAAGGAAACGTTCAAGACGTCATAAGACCTCGAAGGCGTCATCAAGGAAAGGGGATGAATGCCAGGCGTGCAGCATCACAGTTTCTAAAACTGATTCAGCGTTTGAATGTAATTTTTGCAAACGATGGGTGCACTGCCGTTGTGACAAAGAAGTACCGAAAGCATACTATGAGTTTATGAGAAATAACCCATGCCCATGGTTTTGGTACGTGTGTCCACTTTGTCGCCCTGGCATAGTCCCACAAAGCGTGTCTGCGGATAGCAGAAATAACACGCTCTTGTGCCCCAACACAGTATCATGCAGCTCCCCCCTGCTAAACTCGCACTGCCGAAACTGGTCAAAGACTTAAAGAAGGACACACCAGCCCTACTGACTGGAAATGCCAATTCTCACAAGGTGAAGATTAGCAAGGTTCCATCCACATCAGGGGAAGGCAAAATTACAAAGGCACCACTTGCATCCACTAGCAAGCCTGGCAACACAAAAAAGGCTGTCCAGGTACCGATGAAGCCTAATGTTGCTAATGATGCAAAGGACTGCAAGAAGCCGAAGGCAAAACCTAAGTCTGAGGGTAGT